CTCAAGTCGCATCCTTGCGGCTTGTTCTTGTAGACGACGACCGCTCTCCTTCTTGCGCTCCGCAATCCGCGCGAGCTCTTCTTCAGTCTTCTCCTGAACAATATGCTCCGTGAACGGGTACTGAATGACGCGGTCACGGTCCTCGAGTCCTGTCCAGTCGAGGAACCCACTCAGCTCGCGATCGTAGTCTTGTGAAACGTAACAGTGCTTATGAACCATTTCCTCCATCTGGGCGTCCGTCAGACGAGTCGGGAAGGTCGGGTACTTGAGCCTCATAAGCTTCATGAGGTATTCGGCGTTCTGCAGGCCACCCCAGTTGAGACGAGTACTGTTGGAGAGCATGGGTTTCGAGTTCATGACCGGGATGACATGAGTGGAGGTATGCGACGAATCTACAATCAAACCGTCCGTTCCACCGTTATAGCGATACGAGAAGAGGGAATCGACGCCGTAGGCCACTGAAGGCGCAGAGTAGCATTCGAAGAGGATCTCATTCATCACTGAAGGAGTGTCAGCAATCACCATATTGGCCCCGGAACCGCCAGATACTCACTCTTCCTTGAATATGCCATATTGGCGATTGGCTCTGTCATCAAGATCGGGCGACCGACGCCCCCATTTTCACCGTCCACGCCCAGCTTGAGGAACAAATAGTCCAACACACCTTCCATGACATCCCAGTTACCGACAACACTAGAACCAGGGTCAAAACCATTGCGCAGCTGTCCTCTCGTGGTCGCATCGACGTAGGCATCGTATCCGATAAATTGGCACTGGCGATTCAGCTTGCGATCACGGTATCGGCTCATGACGGGAGGTATGGCGAATCGGGGGTTTTTGTCAAAAGACCAACCGGCCTTGACGAGGTGGGAGCCTGCGCATGAACCACATCTATTAGGAAGGTTGAATCGCAAATTATCTGAACTTCCTTACCATTGTCAATGACGATAGCACTGGTGTCGGGATGGGCCTGGCTCTGCTGATATCCCTCGGGTTGCGGAGGGTGATAGCCCTTGAATGGAAAGTCTTGTACACCGTGAAGTTGTGGAGGAGGCTTCTCCGCTCGTTTTTCAGTCGCATTGGATGCAATGCGAGCTGGTAGGAGGGTCTTCACGGAGGTAATCGTCATGGCGGGCTGCGCTCCGGAAACCAGGAGCTATTGGGATCGGAGATCGTAGATGGTGAAGACAGATCACTGCATGGGAATTGAGGTCGGGATAGGAGGAAACTAATGAACCCGTGGAAAGGGCAGCGGATTGACAAAGAGGCAAACGACACAAACGCGGTTGATGAGGTTTGGCGGAGTTGGACCGCCAAGAATGGAGGCTATCACTATCGCTTCTACTGAGTACAGGGATGCAACGATTACAACCTATTATTGAATTTAGAAGTTTGTCTCATTGACTAATTGCAGGCTCATCTACACATTTCTTCGTTATAAGGAAATTGTTCTTCCTTAGGATGGTTCCTGGAGGTTCTCCGTGGCTATCGGGCATTAGTAGAGAATTTCAAGGTTGGTATATGGTAGTGGAGTAATGTATACCTTCGAGGTGGAAGAGAACATTAGACTGGTAGTTCTTGAACATCTGCGCCACAAGCTCAACATTCATATTCTGGATGTTGACTTCCTGTGATCGAGAGTTAATACTATGATCATATCAATGAAGGAGGGTCAAACCTACCTGGAGACCTTTATTCATGACCATAATGGCTTCATTGAGCTTCTCCTATACAAAAAAATGAGCAAAGTATGTTTTTCAGATGTGACTCAATCATGACATACAACGTTGGTGATGATGCGAGAAAGCAGCACCGTCTGCTGATGCTCGTGCGGGCTTTCCTATAGAGATATCAGCATCTGGGATCTTTCACAACGTATCAGATCTAATATATGGAAAAGAAGCCGCATACCATTGTGGAATATTGAGAAATGTGGTGTTAGTGTTCAATGTGAAGGTGTTTATTTGGACTTAATCGGGATGCGATCACGTGCAGCTATACAGACTTCGCGGCCCCGGGGATACTACTTGTATTGCTTTCTACGTTGGTCCTGATTTTGACCGTTTGTGATCCGTCTTTAAATGCCCTATTTTATATAAACAAGCGCTGCCAACTCAGGAATTTAATATATTTTGATTATTCCATCCCCACTCCTGTCTTCACACTTTCATCCATCCACACCGGCAAGCTTCGTAAGAGCTGCTCCCCCCTCAACCTCCTCATTGACCAAACCGGTGGCCTGAATTTTACTCAATACGATGCCTCCACCAACTCCAGCCAACGATGAAGCCCACCAACAGCTCTTGAACACTCTAGACATTTCACATGTCCCCAAGCCCTTTCGCAACCCTCACTGGAAACCATCCCAGCGGCGAAACAAGAATCTCAAGCAGATTATTTCAGAAGCCTCCCGAAAGGAGGCTTCAGCGCTGGCAACTCAAGCCAACTCCACCGCAACTACGCCGGGTGCCTCGGGCGCTGTCACCAATGGCACACAAACCCCCGCGGAAGGGGCTGCACCAAACCTTTCCCAGGCCACTCAAAACCTCTCGACCCTCGTCTTGGAGAAGAACGCCCGGGCAACATTCCCAAGCGGACCCGCCGTCACCTACACGAACATTGAATCGGCGCCATCGTTCAACCCTGCCTACCATCATCACTACTGTGACATTACTGGCCTCAACGGACCGTACACCGACCCCAAGACCCGGCTGCGGTATCACGACAAGGAGATCTTCAAGGTGATTCGGAGTCTAGCACAGGGTGTTCCTGAGAACTACCTGGAAGCGCGCGGGGCGCATACCATTCTGAAGTAAAGGAATGGGAAGAGGCCCTACCTTATTCACTTCCCGAACGAACGACCATGAAGAATATGTATGTTATACGAGAACGAATTCAGGTTGTAAGAGTTCTGCTAATAAATTCAACTAGACACAAATACGAATCGCAAAGAAGCGTTATGTACGACCAACACAGTCAAGCCCTTTCCACCCCACCATGCCCCTTTCGAGACAGGCTCAAGAAAACGCTCCGGCTTATTCGTGATCAATGAGTCGATCTTCGCCTTGTGCATAAGCACTCGACTATTACCGACACCCCATGGGACAGGGTACCAGTTACAGAATCCGAAGAGACTGTCGTCGCGGCGTGGGATGTACAAAATACATGTAAAGGAAGATTCTGCAATAGCTGGTAGAAGTATGCATGAGCTATGCTCGGTATTGTGATTCGGTCGGTATATCTCAATACCAGTAGAATTAGAACTGATGATTGAGATCGACAAAATCTATGCAATTGGAACGATCACATCATTAATGACCTTGTTCAAATGCCAATAAATTGGAGAAGACTTTGTAAAGGAAAAGGACAAGTGGGATCAGCGCGCGCTATAAGCACTTTAGAGTCACCGCCTACGATTCCCGACTTGGCGCCAGTTAGATGGCAGAATTATGATTTTCGACTTGTTTTCTGTTTACGTGCCTTTGGGACTTTTTGTTACCTTTTGATCTGTATCGAGGATTCTCCAAGTCGTGAGCGTACTGTCGCAGCAAAAAAAACTAGCAATTACCTACTTTAAAGAACGCCATATCTCCCTTTGTTCCCACCGCATCTGCCCGGCCTCTTGCCCTACCGATTCCACAACCACGAAAGACAACTTGTTTCCCAGACCGCAGTAATAAGTGTCGCGTGCGCTAAAACACTGCGCCGAGATTATTTGCGCAACTTTCGGTCCCATATACTATCATCGACGATCAAACCCGAAATAAACAAAGATGCCTAGCATGTGGTTAACAGAGAACCAGAGTCAGTCGCATTCATTCTACAAGCTGCGCTGTACACTGCCATGGCAGTCTATGCATAGCAATTGTTGAACATAGGCTAACTTATATAACAGAGATCGGAGTGATCTTCTGCTCAGCCGGTACGAGATCGATGTTCCCGAAGCAGCAATTACTTCGACCGAGAACTAACCAATTTTGCCACTGATTAGGAGGCCTGTTCCTATTTGGAGGAGTGGTGATGTTCTTTGACCGGTCATTGTATGTCAATCCCGATGCGTCGCAATTTCTTTTTTCTTTTTTCTTTTTCTTTTTTTTTGAAGGAGAATAAATGCTAATTAATACCTGGTTAATAGACTTGCCATGGGAAATGTACGCCACATGCTCCAGCAAAATCGTTATACTTGACTAACAATACCAGATCCTCTTTCTCATCGGATTGACCCTGATTATTGGTGTCCAGAAAACCATGGTCTTCTTCACACGCCCGCAAAAACTCAAGGGCACTGCTGCTTTCGCCGCCGGTATCCTCCTTATTCTCTTCCGCTGGCCCTTGACTGGATTCTTGATTGAACTCTACGGTTTGTTCATCCTATTTGGCGACTTCCTTGTCACGATCGGTCAATTTGCGGGCAACATCCCCGTGATTGGGCCGTATATCCAGCGTGGGCTTGAGGTGCTTGCTGGCGGGAGGAGCAATGCTGAGCTTCCCGTATGAGGGTACACAAACAAGGGACTTGGCTATGATGTTCCCTGATTGTATCCCAAACTACGAGTATACAGACTTCATTGCGTACATTTGCGGGATATCAGATGCCCATCACCACGTTTGGAGATGCTCAAGCACGCTGTGCTATACATGTGACATGGGATGATACGATCCACCTACGGCATTCAACTTTATGTAATTAATAATGACCCTTATTGATTTTTCAGCGTTAACTTCAACAGCTGGTAATCAGTTAATATGCATGTTAGAATAGACAAATTACATTGTGCATCGTACAATCTGGTTCGTATCCTCATACTGTGCATTGGGAACCATGTCCGGATCGACATGGCCCATGGAGGCAAAGAGATCCAGTCAAGTCAGAAAAGAAGCATAAGCGAAACAGCACGCTGGGCTCAACAGAGAAATAATCGAATGCTCCTTTATTTCCTATTCTTCACAAACCCCCTCAACTCATCACATCATTTAGTTATCATTGCATATTTTCCAATTTACCGGGGGTTGTTGAGGTAGTCGACGAGGTTCTCGACCACGGTCGCGGCGTTGGTGGTTTGAACGGCCTCGCTGTGGTGGGCAATGATGGTGCAAGAGGAGGCACGGGCAACAATGACACCCTCCTTACCCTATATCACAGACCAAAGAGATTAGCATAGATTCCGATGTTAAGTTATGATGAAACTCCCGAGGTGTTTATGGGCCGAGGAGAACCAGTATATTTACCTTCTTGCCGTATACACTGCGCTCGTCAGCACGGATGGTGACGAACTTCTCACCGCAGACAGAGAAGCCATTAGCGAAAGCCTTGTCGCTAGAAGTGTAGGCGGTGATCAGGGAGTTAATCTCCTCCTGGGAAAGCTGTATTTCGATAAACTAACGTTAGCGACAGTGTCCACGTCTGTGACCCCACCCCGCACGAGGAAAAACAACAGGTGAGCTTACCGCGAAGCCGGGAGAGGCAGCCTCAACACCGGAGAAGTCAGCGGCGAGAATACCAGCCTTGTCGAATTGGCCCGAGCCCATCAGGCTGTAAGAAAGAAGCTTGTCAGCATATGTATAGGATGGGCATGGTGGGATGTTTTGATTTCGAGGGTAACAATGAGGGGCATATCAGGGGTCGAGGGACGGTGATGGGATGTACCTGGAGTCGACATAGCCTAATTCAAAGAGAAATCTCGTGTTAGCGGACTCGAAGACGCAAGGGTCAAACTATCAGTTTGCAGTGTGCGGCAGTTTAAGGTGATGCTTACTTTGCCAGATTGCTGAGTGCTCGCCCATGATGACTGTAAAGAAGCTGAGAGAATAACGCTGGAGTCGGTTGAGTTAGATGTCAGAGAAGAGAAGAAAGCAGAAATTTCAGCGCACACCTTTTGAATATACAGAAAAAAAAGGAGAGCTGGGAGAAGAAGAGGAGTTGGTGGGGGGGGGGGAAGTTGTGGCGGTCGGGAGAGGACCCCGCCATATGACGATCCCACCGTTTGCAACTGCCTTGGGATAACAAGCTTATATTGTGTTGCGGTGTATTTGTATTTATGTATCTGGTGATTTAGAATATACTGTTCATTTTCTCTATGCTATGTAGGATATTATAATATCTGTGTATGGTGTGTATGTGTGTATATATGGATGATATCTAATATTCTCCAACTAGCGGTGGGAGACCCTACAATATACAGAGTAGCTTAACAATAACAACTGTTTGGATGTGTCTATTCAAACCACACATGTCGAGGGTTATGTATGTCATACATATAACATCCCGCTACCAGCCCAGTCCAGTCCAGTCAGCCCAGTCAGCTCAGTCAGCTCAGTTACTTTATGTACCGTCGATCATCACGGTTGATGCCTTGCTGCCTTGCCGCCTTAATACCTTAATGCTTTGCTGACTAAGTGTCTAACTGAACCTCTGCCTGACCGCCTCACTGCCTATGTACCTGAATCTCGGACCTTCAACGGGTCCACCGCTTAATCCTGATTTGACCGCCATTTCCGAGATTCATCTTTCGTCTCAGCTAGTGTCTTGTCTACCCCTTGGCACACAGACATACCATTGGAACCAGAGACAGGCTTGGCATCACGTCGCATTGGCGACTCATAATGCGAAGTCGGAGAATTCACGATATGACCAAGCACTGAATAATGTGGATATCCCATCCATTCAATCAGAGCTGAACCCCCCTTGATCCAAGGGTAAAACGCATAATAAAACGCCCTGTTTCAGTTTTGACCAGGTGAAACACGCCTCCTGCATGGCTTGACCCTATCCAACGTGGTAGCGAACGAATCAATCCGCGGCCGCTGCGCTCATTCGTCCCGCGGGAAATAAGCATCTCACACGAGCTTGCTATTAGCGCCGATACAATACACCCCTCGAATTCCAAAACAGAATTTCGTGAGTGTTTGGGGTCGTTCTCATGTTTTGTTGGTACACGCCAACAGGCTTAGTCTGGGACTGAACCTCTAGCAGCATTCGGATGGAGGTGTTGAAATTAATTTGGCCGTCTCATTTACATGGTTCGTTTATTTGATCCACTCAATCTATCCGTTTACTTTTCATTAATATACTGGGCGACACCCTGATATCTCGGTATTTCTTTGGTTTCTCTTTGATTTTTGTTGGCCTTCTGGAAGGCCCATCTCTTTTTTTTAAAATTGGCATTTTCTTTTAATATCATTCTATTACTTTTCTTCCTTACTTACACTCATTTCCTATCGCATATGGGCTGGTTTCCAAACATACTAGTACAAGATGGCAAGGGGTGTGACCACAGTGCAATCTAGCACGCAACCCAATAAGGATACCATCTCCTTTCCTGTTTTAACCTATTCTGATGCTCTGCCACGAAACGATCTTCGCTCTCTTGAGGCCTCACAGCATCCAGCTCAACCCGCCATGATTGGACAATGGGATTTCAGCCAGCCCTCTACAGGAGATGGGTGGTTCAGAAAGCCACCCCCGGCTGAAGTTGCAACTTTCGACTTTCGCATAACCGAACCACCAGATGAAGCCATTCAATCTACCCGATCAGGCCGTACCCAGACCGAGGAACACATGATTGGCATTGCGCTGGGTAGCCCCGGTCTGTTGACCAAAGATGAGCCTCTACCGCCTCCCAGATTTGATACATCCATCTATGCAGAACGAGATTCAGCCAATAAGCCAAGCAAGTGGAAGAAAATTGGCGGATTCTTCAAAGCGAAGAATGCGCTTACATCGCTTCCAGATAGCGCACAAGAAAGCGAGGTCAAACCACAAAGCAGCAACTATAAACTACCAGAGAAACCGCAAAAAGCACGACTGAGAAAGAACTCAACAGAGGAGTGGCCGAAAGTTGAGATCGACCCCAGGAATATGCCTGGTCGAAGCATTCAAGCTCCGCAGCGGAGTCGGACCCTTTCACTCGGCAACAAGCCACCCAAGGTTGAACCAAGCACCCAGCGCCTCTTACTGAGTGTCGACATCCCGGATGTTCAGCTGGAGCGTTACAGTGTCATGTTCAGTGATGTCGTCAATAAGAACCAAAAACCCTCACTGCTGGCCAGAAGGGCCAGGACACTGGACAATCTTCGCGTGCCAGATGCAAATGTATGGATTTTCGTCGATTAAAAACCAGCATGAGACTAATTGATGCACTAATATAGGGCTTCCTAAAATCACCTGCAGCGCCCCCAATGCCCCAACGTAGGGCAACCTCACCAGCGCAATCAAGCTTCACCTTATTTCCAACTTCACAGTCGTCAAAAGCGGCCCAGGCATCCGGCACACATAATTTTTCCCGTGGACCGAACCCACTAGTTAGAGCAAACACACTCCCTGCCGAAAGTCCATCGAAGATGCCTGTGCCACAGATCCATCATGGTTCAAATATGGGCAGTCTCTCATCGTTCGAGTCACCGGTCATTCCGAAGCTTTTCTCTGAGCGTTCCAATACCCCTCGGTCTTCTAATAGCTATGACAAGCCTCTTCCTGCTATCAGGCCGGAGCCACATACTACATCTTCTCCACTACAGAAGAGTACTCAGCCAGAAAATACGATTTCATCCCCGCAGAAGACCCAGCAACAACAGAGTGTCCAATCGCACAATCTTGTTGTCACGAAACCGGTTGCTCAGCCCCGGATTCATCCACAGCCGAGAAAGGATTCGCTGCCGCGATCCATAATAAAACAGCCTCAGGTTACTTCACAAGATATGACCACACAGAATCAGCCCGATAAGACATCGAGCCACCGCAGAAACAACGATTCAGCGCGCCCACGCCTCAGAGTTGAAACTGAAGGCCGACCACAAGCACCGGCAAAGGACATGCTATCCCCTAGTACATCTCGAAGCTCACCTTCAGCATTGAACGCGACGCAGAGCAAGATTGATCGAATCATGTCCCCATCATCAGCCTCGACTGGACCTAAATCCGCCGTATCGCCAGCAGGTTCCACGCGCATGCCCTTCATCGATGCCGCTGAGACCATCAAGACCATTGAGACTGCTGAAGAGGAGCCTGAACCCGAGCCTCGGCGTCCTACCCCCAGGATCGAGGTTTCAACAGCACGCTCTGTCTCTGTATCGCGGGCAAAGCGGCAGGTTCTAGTTCCCATCGGCATGAGAATTGATCATTTGGATCCGGAGGAGCGGGTTGTTCACAGAAGACCTATGACACCGCAGATTACAGATGCTCACCGTGGGCATCGGCCTGGTGTCTCGCAGGAGTTGCAGATAGAGTGTCTGTGACATCCTACTTCGCCATTCATTTTCTTTCTTTCTTTTCTTAGCTTTTTGTTTCATACCTGATTCCCCTTTGCTATCTCTCATACGTTTTCCTTTTGTCCATATACATATCTACTTCTCTGCATATGGTGTTCAAATTTTCTATAGCGTTTTAATGCAGGGTCGACTCTTTATTTTTTGTCCACTAGATCTCGCATGTACTTGTTGTAGGTGTAAACTAAACAGTGTCCCTATGCCAATTATTGTGAAACCACGCCCAATCACAGCTCCAAATCATGAACTTTTCAGGACGGTAAAAGGATCACCCAAGGTTACAAAACCAGATCACAACAAAAGTATGCATTGTATCACAAAAGCAAGATGACTAAACAGTGAAACTAGGCACACATCCTCAACAACGTCCAAGTAGCGACGTGCAGTATCATCTGGACGCATCGTTCGGGAGACGGGCCAACAAGTCCTCTGCCGCTGATCTCGGGGCAGGTAATGAAGAACATGGGCTCGCAGGAACTGCGACAGATTCACGACAATATGCCAAAGCAGACGCGCAAAGAGCAGAAGGTATGGATATACCAATATCGCAATGCTGCGGATAAGCCGTGGAATTCCTTGTATTCGTTTGCGGAACTGGAGCTTTTTCATGATGATTTTGAAGTGATGAATCAGTTCACGAGTTGGGAGGCTGTGGGAAAACGCAGTTTTGTTGTTGTCAAGTTCATTCGAAATGGGGAGAAGGCAGGGTTGCCTTTGCTGGAGGGTGAGGTGTTGGAGAACACGGATGATGTTTTGTCGTTGGGAATATCATGATAGTTAACAATGTTGTCAAGTTGAATATGGGTGGGAAGACGAGGGTCACTGATTTATTTGAAACTCAGGAGGTGAGGTTTGAAGCGCTAAAGAAGTGGTTTTCTATTTATTTGTGAAGACAGAAGCTCCATGCATGTATATATTTACGTCGATTTATCAGCCAATAGTTTGAGCATCTGCGTTTAGTCCTTGGTGGGAACGCTTGACTCTTCAAGAGTCTGCGTCTCTATGGTCTCGATGCCAGTATCCAAGTTAACCTCAATATTGGAGACAGCCCATGCCATCCCAACATACGAGTCACTGATGACCCTGATATTCACCCGAGCCGTGTTGTTGCTCGTGGAATCCGCGAGGATGCCTTCAGGGAATTTAACATTAGAGCGAACAGTCAACAGGCCGCCCTTGTTATCGTTGACACGTCCTCCGCGACTGGAACCCGCACTATTGCTGCCCTTGCCCTTGCCATTACCATTGCGTTTAGATACTGGTGGCCACGACACACGCTTGAGGCCCAGTAGTTCACCATCCATACCATTGGGCAGAGCACTGCAAATAATCAAGAAGAAGCCCTCAGTCTGTGGCTTGGGGAACCGAGGGGCGTAGACCTTGCATTCGGGGGTTGTGGGCTGGTTACGCCGTGTCAGGGACACAGCGACGCCCTTAGCAGAAATACTCGCAACCGAGATCGACAGGTGAGGCAGCTGGGACGTAATGCGAGTAAAGTTGAATGGAAGGTTTAATTTCTTGACCAGAGCAGCAACTGCACCAGCAGGTTGTGATGAGAGCGATACAAGAGTTCCTGGGAGACCACTGGGTGGCTTCTCGGTCGGGACGCCTGGTAGAATCGACAACGGGTGGTCTTCCGGCCAGCGCGCCGACTTGATGCATTGGAGGAGAGTCATCAACATCTGACACGCAGGAAGGTACCCGAGTTCAGCCATGACATCGATTGAGGCCTGGATGATACGAATGCCTTGATCGAGTACAGAAGTCTGATCACCAACATAATCGGTGATGGGAAGATCGATCCGCGACATGTAGGCCTGAAGGAGGAGGAACGCCTTGGTATGTGGGTCCCAGAGGGGCGCATCGCCCATGCAGTCAATAGACAGCGGCAAATTCTGGGCTAACTCAGCATTTATCAGATCTTCATTGTGTCTGACAGGCAGCTCGTCGAATTCAGTTGCAGAACACATCCAGCTTAAGACATCCTGGAAAGTCGGATCCCGCTTGGCATGGGACATGAGGTACCGGATCGTCTTATGCGAGAGGTAGTAATAACTCATGATCTTGCCGAAGGGAGTAGAGTCGACTTCTCCAGTAGCCGAGTCCACGAGAACACAGGACGACTCTGCGAGATCATTGAGCGACTTTCCAACCAATTCAACCATAAAATCTTGAGCTGTGGCCTGGGCTGCCATGGTGTTTTGTTCCTCTGCAGATATCTCGAGGCCATAGTATGAGGGGTTCTTGTGCAACCGACGGAAGAAGAATGTCCAGGTCAGGTAGTCCAGTGCATCTTGTTGCGTCCCGATAGTTCCAGCAGATACCTCTGCGCCAAGATGGTTGTCGAGAACCTTGTGCAGGGTCGACTCGACGGGGAAACCGGTGTGAAGGAAGTGCTTGTAGAAAGCCTTCTTTGAGTCCTGCGTGAAGATACGCGCAATACCGGAGGTGTCGAACTGCGGGCGACCGGCACGACCGAGCATTTGCAGAACATCGGTCAAGTCCATATCCCGATAACCTTCGATCTTAGCGTCGAAGAACTGTGTACCTTTGACCACGACAAGATGCGCCGGAAGGTTGACACCCCATGCAAGAGTACTAGTTGCCACAAGAACTTGGATCTTGTTGTTGGCAAAGAGTTCTTCTGCCAGCTGGCGATCCGATTCAACCAAACCAGCATGATGCAAACCAATACCAAAGTTGAGGGCTTCTCTTAAAGCATCATCTTTCACTCGCGCGAGGTTCAACTCCAGATCATCTTCAGACATTCGCACAAATCGACGAGGATTGTCCTCCATACCGCAGTAGTTGATCAAATCCTTAGCAGTCAGACGAGTTTGTCGGCGAGAAGCAACGAAGACGATGACTGGCTTCTCTGGTGAGTGGTTCTTGATGGCGAGGAAAGTTGGGCGATTCATTGACTGCATCAAGGGACAGAAACCACGCTGTTCAGGGAACCCATCGATGAAAATCTCGAGGGGAACCGGGCGGACTGAATGACGGAAGTTATACAGACCTTCTTTCACACCGAGCCAGTTGGCCAGATCTGAAGCATTGGCACAGGCGGTGGACATGCCCATCAGTCGAACAGATCCTTCGGATTGGGAAGCGATATAGTTCATTCGGGAAACAATGATTTCCAAAATAGGACCTCGATCACCACCGAGCAAGTGAATCTCGTCAATAATCACGAGGCTCACTTTCCTGACGTAGTCACGGGTCTGCCAACTACGTGAGATACCGTCCCATTTCTCAGGCGTGGTGATAATAATATCGGCATCCCGAATCGTACGTGTGTCAGGTGTATTGTCACCGGTCAACTCAACAAGCTTTAGACCCATCTGCCTGGTGAGACGCTTACGCCAATCTTGAACTCGTTCACGGACCAAGGCCTTCATGGGTGCAATGTAGACAACCTTGGAGCCGGGCTTCTCACGGAAAGCCCACCACATTGCCAGCTCAGCTGCAACAGTCTTTCCACTACCAGTTGGAGAACCAAGGAGAACGTTGGCTGGTGTGTGATAAAGGAGATGGAAGATCTGTGTCTGCATAGGGTTGAAGAATTGGAAGCGTTGCCCATACACTTCCTCAAGAACGGGATTCTTAAGAGCCGATATAGGAAGTGGCTGGAGATTGAGTAGATCAGTATATACGCTTTCAGTGTCCGGGCGAATAAGGTGCTGGAAAGAAACCGGGCTAACGGTTTCAGCACCTAGCCAGCGATCAGAGATCACACGAATGTAGATTTGGCTGGGAAGGGGATCAGACAACGGAATAGTGAAATTGAGCTCATGATCAGCATAAAGCTTCTTCCGGCTTAGGATGAAGTACTCGTGATGATAGATTTCCGATGTCTCCGAGTTTTCGACCCAGACCCAGAAGGATTCTGATGTTCCGTGGTGGCGATCATTCCAGGTGAACTCGGGGTAGATGGAAAGACGAATACGAAGCACATCGCGGTTAAGCGGCGCGATCTCGGCCTCAACACTCAGAGTTGGGAAATTGTCCAGGAGCTTGGACAACGTATTGCCCATGCGATGGTTATGAACAAGTTGACCGATCTCCGTAGGCTCCATTTCTTTCATCGACTCGATGGAAGTAGTTGGAAGCTTTTCATCAAGGTTACGTAGGATCGGCTGAGGCAAGTCGAACTGACGGAAAGGGTGATCAAAGGGCCAGATCTGTTTCTCAATGGATTTGCAAAGAGACAACAGAACCTGGCATTGATAGCCCCAGCGACGATTCAACGAAATCATGAACAGAGCACGGCAGATACGTGCCGCATTTTGGGCAACATATCCAGTATCGGAGGCTAGAGCAAAGTCCTCAATCTTGGCGCGAGAGATATAGGCCTGCAATAAGAGGTTTGTTTTTGCGTGTGGCGTGTCGTTTCCTCCGGCAACTTCAGTCTGTGCAACTTCATCGCGCAGTCGCTGGAGCTCTTTCGACTCGCTGTCTCTGGATTGGATGTTGTCGAATTCTCCACTCATACTGATCATTTTGAGTACATCTGCCTCACCAGAGCGGGGACGCATCATGTCGTTGAAAATCTCGACACTGGTTTGCAATACATAGTATTGACTTGCAATGCGACCAACATCCTTGGCCTTGAGATCTTCAGTCTTGTCGTTGAAGATGATCATCTGACTCTTTTGTAGCACCCGTGCTGCTTGCAAGATCAACTGCCGCCGCCTTTGGACCAGCATTGGGTCATCGCGTAACTCGGCAAACTCGATTCCGTAGTTTCTCGGCTCACGTTTCATGCGCACATAGAGGTAGGAGTAACCAAGCCATTGCACAGCCTCTGGAACTGATGTGACTGTTCCAAGGGAGATTTCAGCATTCAAGTTATCCACAAGTCGACTAGAGAAGCGCGACTCAATGGGCTGCTGCGCAGTAACAGCAGACAGGTAGTGGTTCAATTTGTCATGGGTAGTACAGATAAATCCAATGCCTGTATCCTGAAATTGTGGACGACCTGCACGACCAAAGATTTGCATGACATCGAGAATGCTCAGGTCAATGAATTTACCCTCTTGGGGGTTATACAACTGAGTACCTTTGATAACAACCGCGGCTGCGGGAAGGTTGACACCCCACGCCAAAGTAGCAGTACAGCACAGTACTTTGATTAAACCTTCTGAAAACATTCGCTCCATCAGATTGCGGTCGCTTCGAGTCATTCCGGCATGATGGGTTCCAAATCCGCTAGCGAATAGGTCACGTAGTTCACGCGCACGCGCGTGCTTCATGTCACGAAGGGCATTGGAATAATTTTCATGGTCATGGCAGCTGAATAAATCCTCTCGGCCCTCCTCCGCGGCTAGCTGCATAAGCATCCTGGCAGTCATTACCGTATCTTTGCGCGAGTGGACGAAAACCATGACTTGGTGGCCTCTCTCCATCATGTCGCGAACCTTCTCGTAGGCGACAGAGTCAATGTTGTCACGAGATTGTTTGGAGCCGGGCTTTCCTTTGACACCGATGAAGTGTTGCTCAAGGGGCACAGGTCGAAAAGATTGATCGAAGAAGAACATGCCGGCCATTTTGTTTACTTTTAAGAAGTCGGCTACATCTGTATAGTTCGGAAGAGTGGCCGATAGGCCAACAATACGAATCAGAGACTGTGTGCTTTCGACCTGACGTTGGGTTCGAGCGACCAAGGATTCAATGACCGCTCCTCGCTCGTCGTGCAACATGTGGACTTCATCGATAATGAGAAGGCGGACCTTTTGAACAAGCTCTGTGTCTCCGGTGCTTTTCCGCGTTACAACATCCCATTTCTCAGGGGTAGTAACGATGATCTGGGTTTCAACAATCTCCCGCTTGGTCAACTGCATATCACCGGTCAGTTCGCGGACCTTGATCCCCAACCAGGCCAAACGTTTCCCGAGTTTCTCCGTCACCTCAGCAGCCAAAGCCTTCATAGGAGCAACATAGACAATCTTAAAGTCATCAACTTGCACAGTGAATTCAGTCGCTTCTGGGTTTTCCAACGGATTGGGAGACGTGTTCTTTCCCACAGCATTGAGAACAGTCAACATAGCGGCATCCGTTTTACCCGCACCAGTCGGCGCGCAAATAAGCATATTTTCGTTTGTTTTGTATGCAACATTGTAGAGCAAGCTTTGCATACGATTGAGAGATTTGTAACCCTTGAAGGTACCCCGACAAAGGCCATCCATTTCAGCGATCTCCACCAGTCTCCGGCCCTTTCCAAGTGTTCCGACCTTCGACGCCGGGATCGCGAATTCAGTGTACTTCGGTTCCTCGATCTGCTCGCTACCCAGAGGCAGTCCATATTTCTTTCCATTAGCAGAAAGTGTATTTCCGGAGGTGTGTTGTTTGAAAACATGCGGGTAGGAAGGCTCCGATCGGGTTTGGGCCGGCATCAACGCAGCACTCTTATGGTCAAAGTCGCGCTGTTGCAAAGCATGTTCTCTCTCTGCTCGTGTTTGGAGCCTACCTGCCATGAGCCCATCTGTCTGAGATTCCAAGCGGGGTCCCCTGTCCGACAGAATTTCTCCTCGGTGTGCGATAAGCTCAATAACCAGATCCAAGTCATCGAAGCCAACGATCTCGGCCAAAGACATTTGTAGCTCCTCGTCGTTGCTGTCAGCAGCTAGGGTGGCGATGACTTGCTGAGCAAGCTCTGTCGCATCCATAGTTGAGTTTCGCATGGCTAAATCCTGGCACTTGTCTTCTAGCCAAAACCGATTGTAGGAGGACCCTGGTGCGAGATGAAGTCCGTCGAGTTCATCCAAGTCATCCAGATCGTCGGAAGTTTCATCATCCGAGCTGATGATATCCCACACATCATCATTTGTTCCTGGGGACGAATAGTCGTCGTCAATGTCCAGATCAATATCACTTCCATAGCTGATCGATTCATGAGGAAGGTCTTTGGGGAGCTTCAGATCAGCAATAGCCTGGCGCATTGCTGCTAGTTGTGACAGCCATTGCGACTCGGCAGCTGCGATGCTTTCCATGTTGACCCAGTTATCAAGAAGTGATAAGCCAAGCAACGAAGCATATAGGGAATGAGGGGATAAGCTGAGCCAAAAGTAGTTATAGGGCCGGCCCGCAGGTCAGTCGGTCGCATGATAAGAGCGGTGTACTTTCATGCCTCAGGCCACAATGCAGAGGGTCTAGTGCATCATTGCTATCGGCAACTCAGGAGCCTGTTTTAGGCTTAACACTTGTCACTTTGCTTCGCCACATCAGTTGATCATACAGCCGACCTCCTACGATAAAGAAATTGCCTGGTTCTTTGACACCAGGGCATTTCCTTGATCAGCACCTACTACGAGCCAACGCGCCACCACCCCCGAGACCTACTTGCCTCCTTGTCCTTGTGCGGACAACCACGCTGTCACCATGAAGATTCTTTATATGGGCGTATGTTTGATTGCAGCTTAGACTTGACACTGTATATACCTAGACATGGTACTTATCTATGAATCTTGCAGGTTTTCCGGAACGACACCCAGCCAGCTCTCCAGCTATGCGGGGAAAAGGATCTCAGCAGGTAGTTTCACATGCGCGTCCTGCAACTGACTAGAACGTTTCGCTAATTATTACTAGCTTTTCGCGCTTCACTCGTCAGAAGTATGCACACCCATCCTCTCTCAGCCCGACACGGCTAGGTCGCTAACCACCAACCTCTTCACAGCTACGATGAATTCCTGATGCTCTTCACCCGAACGGTCGCCGAGAAGACAAAGGCAGGCCAACGGCAGGATATTGAAGAGAAGGCTTACACATTCCACGCTTACGGACGGACAGAGGGTGTCTCCGGTGTTATTGTTACAGATGGGGACTACCCTGCCCTAGTAGCCCACCAGCTTTTGGGCAAGATTGTGGACGAATTCCTTGCCAAATACCCACGCACTGCCTTCTCAGACCCCTCACTACGTGAGAATGCGTGCCCCCTGCCGCAGCTCAAGGAATATATCATCAAGTACCAGGACCCAGGCCAGGCTGATAGCATCATGAAGATCCAGCAGGAGCTTGACGAAACCAAGATTGTCCTTCACAAGACGGTATGCTCTTACGTCCTTATGAGCTGATTTTACGTGCTAACCATTTCTAGATCGAAAGTGTTCTGGAGCGCGGTGAGAAAATTGACTCCCTAGTTCAGAAGAGTGATGGACTCTCAGCCCAGAGCAAGATGTTCTATACCCAGGTATGCAAATCGAACGTTGACTTTACCTGAATCTACTAACACAACCAAATCCAGGCCAAGAAGCAAAACTCTTGCTGTGTTGTGATGTGAACGGGGATTAGTGTTACATAATGTATTCGATTACGGCTCCTTATTCTTGGATTTAACTTACTCGTGTAATCAGACGCTGAATCGGTGCATTTGTTTGCTATTGTATTTTGTCTCATTTTTCGATGCCTATATATTTGTACCTAGTTTTCTCAATTAGGAGGATGTCTTTGACTGTTTTGTTCTTTTGTGACGTATTTTGCCATGGACGTTGGAAGGGCCATACGAACTGGGAATGTTTCTGAGTAAGCTCTAATAAATGGGCCACTAAAAGCCATTGCAACGGCAAAAGGTCATGGAGAGTATGATAAATAACAAACTCAAGTAGATGGTGATCAGGTACGGAGTATGTTCTACAAACTGCATAAAAAGCTCCCTTTCACTCTTCCCCCATCGTTCCAGGTCGGAGCGTACACTAGCCCTCATCGCCTGTTCCCTATCCAGACCCTTCAACACGCTCATCAGGTTTCCAGATTTTCCTTCGTGCTCTCGGGGTGCTTCCCAAGGCTTTCTAATTCTTGAATTCCCGAGGTGTATGACTGTGATCAATGTCAAAGCTCTTATCCTCTTGAGCAACGTGCCCACTGGCGGCCTTTTCCACAGCAGTGGCATCCCATCCCATAAAGATGGTATGAGTCTTCGGTACCAGGGCTTCTCGTGGTGTAGTCCCGCGGTATTGCTCGCTACCGTTGTCATCTACTTAATAGTACACATCACTATCTCGCTCAAGGGGAATTCCAACAATAGAGGTGGTTTTTGAGAGTTCAGGTTGGCCAAAATACAAGAAATACTTCGCGATAACGTGGTCAGGTGGTAGGGTCAAGAGCTGCGCGGGGGTACGTTGGCCTAACCATTCCACGTGCATTTTGTGTTGCAGCTCCAGAATGTGGCCAGGAACCCGATCACACTTTCCCTCTTGGGGGGCTTTCTTCATCAATGCAGTTCCATTGCCAGAAAAGTCCTTCTCTTCAAACTACACCCCGTAGTAATTCAACTGGCAGCAGACGAAACTCGGATTATCCCTAATTGCCTTCTACCCTTCGCGGGATAACTTGGGTAAAAGCATGCTTGCGAGAACCTTCGACTCGATCTATCGGACCGGGCTCTGCTTAGAAACGGTCAAGCCCGTAGACAAAACCGTCCCGGCGAATATGTTTGTAATTGTCCGCAGGCATGGCGACAATTCGCTAAGGTATATCACAGAAAATTGGCCGGGTCGTATCGAAACGACAATTGGAAGTATACCCGTGCCAGTGAGTCTTCGGGGATCACTTAGACTGATTTGGGTCTCATGAAATGGGAATGTAAGGGGATGTAGAACATACCCTACGAGGATGACGATGATGGTGAAGAGGGGGTGAAGGAGAGGCAGAGGAAGCGTATAGAGATAAGTAGATAATCATATTTTCAGGTTTTCTGACTTCCTCTTTACAATTTGTGTCACGCCTACTTTTTCGAGACACCATAGCTTCTGAGAAACGGTCCCATTTCTAGGAATCGCTCCCAAGGTTCCATGCATCCCATTCATATACGGCCCAGGTAGAGGATATACTTCTATACAGAGCGAACACTAAATCGGAAAAGGATTTAAGAAGTTGGAGGGAAAGTTTCGTAGGGGCACTGTATACAACTATACAGAGCAGAAAGTGAGAGGAAGACGAAAGTCTGGTGGATCTCTAAGAGAGAATCAAGTTATATTGTAGCCAGTATCAATAGGTCATGGATGGATAGCAAATATGTGTAGTCATACAAGGAAACATCTGTATGCCATCTTTGAACACTATAGCAGGACCATGAAATGCATGGGGATGCTGGTTGAGGGGTTGCAGGAAGAATATGCAGGCCATGACCTATGGGAGATACCTGCTAGGTTAATTGCTTGAACAAGCTACGCTGTATCCAGATAGTTTCGTATATATCTCTCTCAATATAGATATATATATTGATACCTGATATATAAGCCGGAGACCAGGATAAAAAGTTCTCGAGTGGCACCCACCTAACAAAACCCATTCCCTCCCACCCAAGCTGAATATGCCTACAAGTCGACGCTCGCGATAGCAGACACCCACTTATGGGAGGTTGTCTGTTCATATTGCATGTCACAGGTGAGTGGTGAATTTGGCACAGCCTAGCTTAATTGGGTTAGCTTTATAGTGACCCATATTTGACCAACCTTAAAAAAATGTGCCAAGTATTTAGACGTGGGGTTTCTGGTTTCGATTTTCCATGCTCGCATGCTCTTTCAAAAACCTTTCCTTCATTCTTCACTGGAACATCTCAATGAAGATTGCTATTATTGGTGCTGGGATCGCCGGATGTGCAGCTTACCTGGAGCTGCAAAAGCACCTCCCGCGGCATACCAAATCCGATGAATCCCATGAGATCACTATCTACGAGGCTTACAATACAAATCTGAACATCACAGCTGATGAGAGAATAGAGGAATATACACATTCCTCTACTTTACTTGTTGGAGGCGGACTGGGTGTTGCGCCCAATGGCTTGAACGTACTGAAACGCCTTGATGAAGAGCTGCTGAAGGATGTTGTGCGTGGGGGCTACGTCACAGCAATTTCCAACATGAAAAATAAAAATGGCTGGCCCCTTTTTTCGATGAAAAGTGCTTCTTCGGACGACAACAGCGGCAATAATAACAACAGATTCCCCCATATGCTCGCGACTAGTCGCCACTCGCTTTGGGCTGCTTTGCGGGGGCGAATTCCAGACCACCATATCATCCACAAAAGAATATCCCAAGTTGTTGCACGATCCGATGGAAGGAACTTGATTCATTTTGCCGATGACAGCTCTCCAGTGGAGGTGGATCTGGTTATCGGCGCAGACGGTGTCCGAGGTACTGCTAAGCGAGCGCTTTTCCCGGATGCCGAAGAGGATCCATATCCCCCGAACTATGAGTAAGTGAACACTGAAAATTCTTGATCCCGGCATGGGCCATATTTTGTGTGGTCTCGGAATTAACTGTGAGGCAGAGGTCTCGTCGGGGTTGGGGGCTTCATCCCTGCGGCAAATGTAAAAGATTTTGTCGAACCAGGGTCCATGAATTTTGTCTTTGGTGGAAATGGGTTCTTCGGATACTTCTTTTCGGAAAGCTCCATGTCTGCTGCTAACCGGGACTCGCCTTATCACGTCTCTGAGCCAGGAGACTGTCTTGCTTGGTGGTCAACCTATGAGATCGAAGAATGTCCCGATCGCAAAAAAATCGACATGGACGACGTGACTCGGCAACTGCGTGAAAGGCATGCGAATTGGAAGGAGCCTGTTGTGAAAAAAGTGATTCAGTCCCTTCAGGTTGAAAACATGTATCCGACATGGACTTTACCTGCGCTTCCAACGTGGGAGCGGGATGGAGTCGTTCTCGTTGGAGACGCAGCACATGCGCTCCCTTCAAGCTCTGGCCAAGGCTCTTCTCAAGCACTGGAGGATGTTGAAGCTCTTGCTTTGCTTTTGGCTCATCACCTTCATATGGGCAATGCATACCTAGACGAGGTAACACCACAGACCCAGAAGAATGTGATCAAAGCAGCCGCTTCGCAGTATATGAACTTGCGCCAGCCGCACGTGAACGCAATCCTGGAATCTGCAAAGAAGACCCAGAACAGTAAGCGTGAAATGGGTATACTCAAAGAGTATTCTATGTATGCTGTGATGAAAATAATGGGTGAGAGCTTTCCTGATAACTTCCGAGGTTATAGTAGTGCTGTTGACTAACAGCTGCCATAGGACTCTTCCCTGGTTTTATGAGCAACCAGATTCGCACAGTGACGGAATATAATATTGCAGATCAAGTTGCGCGAATAATTTCCAGTGATAACTGAAGGAAAATACGGTCATCTCCGTGGCTTGCACTGGGATATGCACGGCATTGCCGTGTATCGATTGGACGCAGGGGCTCGTTCCGTTTGTCCCGGGGGGGTCGTTCGATAAGATCTTTTAAAGTCTATCTTTTTTGACAATATTTAATAACTTGTTAACACATGAAATGCTATCTTTCGATAGGACTTTTGCCTGATGCTGTTTACTACAGCCACCCATGGCGTGACCGACACTAGTACGTTCGATCCATATAGGGTATTTCCAGTTCTAATGCTGTCGGCATTTATTTCCTCTTGAGATAGAGAGGCACCGCTAATCTCCTGCGCTCGGACAATTTAACGGGTATTTATTACATCTGTTCCTTTCGTTGAAAGCATATTGGCCCACGATAAGAGCAAGCTTGTCGCCATAGCCCAGCGTAATGTTGCACTCGGGGGTTTCAGACACGTCAGCTCTGGAAGGATTCCTCAAATACGCCTCGTGGCTTTGAGAATGGAGTATGACATGCGCATCAAAATAGTAGAATTAAATATAAATCCCGTTTCGATTATCCGTTAGATTCCGATTTGTGTACGGAGTATGCGCTATACCATCCGCTAGATCAACACTAGATACTCCAAAAACGAAAATTGATTTCGACACTTCAGGACGCGAGACTTACGGACCTTAACCCCACTTCTGCCACTTATGGATGTTTGGAAGTCAAGGCGTGCTTATCTGGGCCCTTGGCGTTAGCGTGCAGCAATTTCTGTCCCGAGTTCTTAGAACATGTGAGCAGTTTTCAAGCAAGGAACATCGAGATAGCGAATCGGATCCGCAGAATAGGGGGAAAGATGAAGTGTTGCAGTTGCCAAGAGTAGCGTCTCAACTAAGCTCAAACAATATCCTTGGGGTTTTATCCTGATTGGCCACGATTGCCCATATCAAGATTAAGGTTAGAAATACAAAGTCTTATCTTCACCCTGTCGTCTGATCGCATGGAAAGGAGACGCCTAAATACGCCACGAGCCACCGAGCAGTACACCTCAACGCCCTGCTTATCATGGACAAAATGCAAGTCAGCCGTATACCTCGGCTGGGGTATATAAATTACCATTCGCCGTCGATCAGTTTTCTTGCCTAGTGTGTTTGTGTAGAAACCAAAAACATGACTGCAATGGACTCAGACATCGAGAAGAAAGCAGCCACGGCCGTAGAGCCAGCCGAAAGTCTCCCTTCAGCCCATGATGATGTGGTGGTTGGTGAAATCAACCCGCTGAAGCGGAATCTGAAGAACCGCCATATGCAGATGATCGCTCTTGGTATGCGTCCTTTGACGGTTCTTCTTTTGCTTCTGATACTAATCTCACCAAGGTGGGGCTATTGGAGCTGGTCTTTTTGTTAGTACGGGGTCTGCCCTCCGCACAGGCGGGCCTGGATCTTTGTTGCTATGTTATTTGATCGTTGGAGGAATGCTTCTTCTTACAATTCAAGCTCTGGGTGAATTGGCCGTGCTATATCCTGTAAATGGAGCCTTCTTCACATACTGTGTCCGGTTCATTAGTCCATCCTGGTGAGTTTCCTGTGTTCATGTGCTAGGTTTAAGATGAACGAAAACTGACTACTCATCTCATGATAGGGGGTTTGCGGTCGGCTGGGACTACGCTATTGGATGGCTTATCATCCTTCCCTTCGAACTCACGGCTGCGAGTTTAACAATCCAGTACTGGAGTGAAACTTTGAACAGTGGAATTTGGGTGGCAGTGTTTCTGGTCGTTCTGACAGCAATCCAGTTCTTTGGTGTTCGAGGCTATGGAGAAGGTGATACAGAATTGATACCTCCTTTTGCGATAAATGGATACTAACATCGGCCTATAGTCGAATTTGTGCTAGGAATGATCAAGGTCACCGCTGTAATTGGCTTCATTATCCTTGGAATCGTGATCGATTGCGGTGGAGCTCCGAATGGAGGTTACATAGGAGCTCATTACTGGCATGACCCTGGGGCATTCACGGACTTCAAGGGGTTCTGTTCGGTCTTTGTGACAGCGGCCTTTGCTTTCGGTGGCACAGAAATGGCTGGTCTTGCTGCTGCGGAGGCGGCAAACCCTGCCAAGTCCATCCCCAAAGCATCCAAGCAGGTCTTCTGGCGCATCATGTTCTTCTATGTCCTAGGAACCTTTATTGTTGGCTTGATTGTGCCTTCCAATGCTGACTGGCTTCTTGGGGCATCTGGCGCCAACACGAAGGCTTCTCCATTTGTCGTATCAATCCAGAATGCCGGTATCTCTGGGCTGCCGTCTGTCATGAATGCAGTCATCACTATTTCGGTCATTAGTGTGGCCAACTCTGCCACATACGGCTCAAGTCGCACTATCCAGGCTCTGGCTTCCCGAGGAATGGCACCAAGATTCATGGCATATGTTGACAAGGCAGGTCGACCTCTTTACTGTATTATTTTGCAGATTGCTTTTGGTTTGCTCGCCTTTATCAATGAGGCACCCTCTGGAAGCACTATCTTCGACTGGCTTCTTGCCTTGTCTGGTATTTCTGACTTTTTCATCTGGGGAAGCATTTGCCTTGCCCATATCCGATTCCGTTCCGCCTGGAAACGTAACGGACACACCGTAAAGGAGCTTACCTTTGCCGCTCCCTTTGGTGTGATTGGAAGCTATATCGGTCTCGGTCTCAACATCTTGTGTCTCATCGCAGAATTTTATGTCTCCGTGGCTACAAAAAGCGCAGAGGACTTTTTCATGAACTATATTGCTGCGCCGATTGTGATACTGCTTTTCGTCATCTGGCTTGTTTACACCAAGTTGAACAAGGACCCCAATCTCGACCGTGGAGGCTGGTTCATCCCAATTGAGAAGATCGACATCCACAGCTTTATGAGGGACTCGGCTCTCGATGTGGACCTTCCACCAAGAGTTGAGTATCCCACTTGGAGTGCTTGGTTCAAAGCAGCCCCTCTGCGTCTACTCCGGTCAATATTTTGAGAGATTGAGAGCCGTTTATATAGTTCGTAATTGAAATTGAACTTTTGTTTCGACGAGATGAAGTCAGAGCTTTATATGTCCCGAGTTTGAAATATAAACCGTGCAGGTTGTCGTCGTTTCCTGTATATATGTGTAGCAGACAGTATGTGCCGAATTTTAGGCCGCGGATGTGAATTTCCTTGCTAATAATGAACCAAAGTTTCATAAATAACTTATATTGGCTGGTGTAGGTGCGTGCTGTTACTAGAGATATATAATTACCTAGATAAGCGGTTGTACGCGACATAGCCATTCATGTCAAAATGAGCTGCCGTGAACGCAGAAACAAGAACAAATTATCAGATCAACCCTGTTGGACGATGCCAACAACACGAGTCTCGTGTGGACCCCTTGAAGCTCGAAATGCGAAGACGGGTCTTTTTTGTGCCGTGAGGTATTGAACGGAGGTTACGCGACGGCACCAAAAAGGCAAAACCAACCAGATACAATAATTCACAGCTGCACCGTCTACAATGAATGTTAAAAACGCAGTAGCTGGGCGTAGATACAAAAATGCTTAAGAAGCAACCTGAACACCCTGTGGATTATGGAAGATGTCCTTTGGATCTAAGTCTCCCTTGAGCTCTTCCAATCTCGGAAGGTTGCTACGCCAGTACGCACGCTGGGCATCGGGCATCTTAGGATCTGGACATCCGAGGTATGCGTGTCCCGCACTTTCGGGCACTGCCTGAGCTAGAATATCGTAAAGACCATCTGCAAAATCATACGTAGTCTGCGAGATCGGACCAAGTGGGTTGGCTACGAAGATTTGAACCCAGAAAAGCACATCGCGGTGGCCATAGGCTGTGGCATCTTTGGGCACAGCGTTGATAGCTCCACCCTCCAGGCTGAGAGTGACAAACCACGCCAAAGTGCCAGCATTGGTTTTGTGGATATAATCGAACAAGCCGTCGATGGCGGAGTTAGGAATCAGCGTACTTGGGGTGAATCCGAGTGACTTGGCGTAAAACCAGGTCGGGGAGTCTCCGATCAGTCTCAGAATGGTATCTTCCAGTCCATGCCCGATCATCCCCAGCCAATCAGTTAGAACAAGCACAGTACCAGGCTCGCTGGTGGGGAACTTCTTCTCCAGGTCGAGTTGGTCGTACTCCTCTTTTGAGCCGAAGAAAATACCTTCGAGGATGATCTGGCCGTCAAAGATGATCAAGTTAGAGTAAAACTTCCAGGTGAGGTTCTCCTGGGCTATATATGCCTGCCAATCTTTGACAAGTTTCGCCTTCTCGGCAGGAGTTCCCAGATTGAATGAGAACGAATATTGAACTCCCAGGCCGGGTGCCTCCTCCGTGCGCACTTTAAACTCTGTAACAATCCCGAAGCTAGCAGCGGCGCCTTTGATGGCAAACAGAACATCCTGGTTTTGAGTAGCTGATGCGCGCACAATACTCGAGTTCGCCAAAACCACTTCGACTTCCTCCACATGGTCAAGCGCCAGACCCCACTGGCGCGCTGTCGGGCCCAATCCGCCCACTGTCAGGTGTCCACCTGTCCGAATGGAAGGACAAATGCCGTGTGCCATTGCTCTCTTGCCGGCATTGTAAATCTCGGTGTCAAGGTTGCCTAGAGTTGTTCCGGGGCCGATAGTGGCGACGAATGTTGACTCGTCCATGGAGAATTGTGAGAAGTGCTTCATATCGACCACGATGGCACCGTCTTGTCCTCCAAGGCCTAGAACCAAATATAAATTAGTCGAATAAATGGCTAAGCAGCTGAATAGCCATAAACAACAGTCATACCAAAGTTGCCAAAACTATGGCCGCCACTGCGAGCCTGCACCTTGTAGTCATAGTCGGAGGCACATTTAACTACAGCAGCCACTTCATCTGCTGATTGAGGGTACGTGACTGCTGCCGGGGTGACCGGAATATTCAAGTTATACGGATCAACTGCGGTAGTCTGGTAAAGAAGCGCATCTTGGAACGCGACGTGAGCAGCAACTCCCCCAACGGCAGATGTCAGACAGTCACGTCCAGCAGCAATGCTGGTGGTATTACCCATAATAGAAACGGCCGAGAAACAGACGTGGTACGTGAGAAATTGAAAGGAAAAAAGACGACACAACGCACAAATGGGCTTAAATGCCCCTTTTCTGTTGTCAGCCAGAATGGATCATCCCTTCACCCACATTTTAGTACCGATCCACACTCCTTGTCAGGAGCCCTCCGTACAGAGCAAGATCTGTGTAGATCCTGCCGATCAGTTTGCGGTAGTAACAAGTAGATGCACGCCGAACGTAATTAAAACTCAGCTCAGGCTTGGCAGAAGCGCATTTTAACAGCACTTAAGGATTACTACTGAGGGACGGGTAGTACGCATGGTTTCGCTTGCTAGCCGTCCTGGAACAGACTTTATAAACTCATATGGATAAACCACCTCGGCACTTGCTCTTGCTCGTCCCACTTGATCTGCACTCTGTCGGAATTCCCCACCGTTCATATGTTTACTGTGTGATGCTTAACTGGGGTAGGCCCCGGCAATGTTAATGATTATGTAATATTTCGGATCGCCCACCGGGCTACGGGTGCTCCCGAGGTCTCAACGAAGATTGGAAAAGGATGAGCATTAAAATGGCAAGGGAGATCCATCAAGCACGCCCCGGGCTCCGGTATGCATCGATAGAAAATTCAGACAGGAATATGTGGCATGAAAATACATGATATCAATCAGTGACATATAGTTATCCAACTCAATGAGAAAAACTAAAACTTCCCGGGGTCAACGGACATACTGAAAAGTTACTTTGAACTATCATATAATCGCAGGATATATACATACTGTTGGATCATCCCATAGTTACTTGGTTGTTTGCAGACTGAGTTATTTGAGTTAGTTTCTATAGAATATAAATACCCTGGATTTGCTAGATTGAATAAATCTTTTGCTCTCAGTAGTAATCACAAGACCGACAGTCCATCAATTGATTCAAAAAAGGAAGGAGAGGGGGGGGGGTTCGTGTATGTAGATAGATAAAAAGACGCATTCAGACAACATCATTCATAGTTCGGATAATGCTCGGCCTAGCTGTCTACGTATATAGGAAGGAGCTAGTTGGCTTAACACGAGTATACAGCTAGAACTGTGCTCCACGATCCACCTAGTGACACAACTTCCGTAATCACTAGCATTTGTGTGAACGTGTATACTGGATTATAAAAATCAACTCGAGCCCCTAGATGCATTAAATGAAATTTTCACACAATTCCTTCAAATATGAATAGGGGTTGATAGAAATCTTCGGCAATAACAGCCAATAATAACAAAGCCCGTGGTACAGTTTATTGCCGATACTCGGACGCAAGCCATTACAGGATTTGCCGGAGCATGGGTGTCAGAGGATGGACAACGTCCGCCCTGCAACCTTAGCAAAAATGTCGTGAATCTTAGCCCAGACCATAAACCGAACGTATAGACATGTGAACATGAAATATAGTACGTTGAGATCGTCCTGACCGTTGGAAAAAAATGCAAGTCGCATTATTTGGCTATAAAACTCCTTAGGTTGAAACTCTATAACCTCCATATGTAATTGGGCAAGGACTGCATCTGCATGCCAATGTTGTACGGATCTCAGGTCCGAATTGAGTTCAAACCGTCCAAGGTTCCTAACTCGTACATCGATGGATGGGTGTTCGCGCGGATGCCTAAGGTTATCGCCTAGGCGACCCGTGCGCCACGGCTATGCGGCTCGGGGCCATGCCCAATGACGATCTTGTGGAGACTCTAGACCGAAAACATACGTAGCACGGTTCTATATTTATTTCAAACAATCGTCTAAATAACGTGTGTTAATTACATTATGAACTCTTAATTATCTAAATAGTATGCTGAATACAACTGTTTTTCTTTACCGGGCCATGGTGAATCCAAGATAGTTGAGGGGGTCATACTGGGCCCTTGAAAGTCGTCTGAAATACTTCCGACACTGCACTTGCCATCCTAAGAGACATAGAAAGTCTGTACCCGCTCAACTTCCTGTTATTTTTTACAAAGCGTGTTCTATGATATTATTTCATGGAAACCCGGCGACAATTGATGTAGTAAAAGTGCATAGTTCTATTTGCTAGCTTGTGGAAGAACAGGCTTCACAGAGGGGGGACTGATCCAGAAGACGGGGTAACTGCGTTGGATGTTATTAAGGAACAGAGCCAGAACCAGGAGTATAGTCGACGAAAGTAAGACAACTGGCAGATAGTACCAAGATAGTGCCCACACAGCTTCGTCCACCGCTGGAAGGAGAGCCGTGGCGCCGGCTGGAGGGTGAGTTGTCTCGGTGATCTGCATAACAACAATGGCAATGGCGGATGAAAGGGAAGCGGCGAGCCAGCGCAAAGAGTTGAACTTTTCTTCATTTGGCATTAAGCCGAAGAGTTTTGTAATACAGATGCCGACCAGAGCACTCAAAAAATGACCACCGATCAGTGCGCGTGGCTGTGATAGAGGGGCTTCAATGGAACCATATACGAGGACTGCTGATGCTCCCTATTTGTAGATGAGTATTTGAGAAGGGCGTGTAGGAAAGGGGAGACACACAAAAGAAGCAATGATACCGGGAACGCCACGTTCAATGAAGTAGGAAGAGTAGTTGAATATGGCCTGTATCACACATAGACCACAGAATGCGGCTATGAACGACCAGAAGTGAACGAGATATTTGGCGGGAGGCTTTGGTGCATTCTCACGATAGCCAAGCCAGTGGCTGACGGACCGAGGGAGGCGAGCCAAGAACCCTTTCTCGGAGATCATTTTAAGGAGGTTGGGAAATGAGATTGATAAAGAATCAGAGTTTGGCAGTAAGATCAAATGTAAACTCCGAACAGATCTAAATAGAAAACGCACGAATCATGTGATGTACATTCTACATTCTAAAGGGAATTATAACATCCATAATATCACCATGGGAGGCTTAGTCTGCGGAAAGCCCCTAAGGCTAGGAATCTGACTAGGTGATCGGGATTTGGAAAAAAAAAAGTCTCTACCAAATCCCGTATAAATACAAGTGAAGTGACAAAATTGGATATCCCATGTTCCGAAAATGTGGCGCGACGGCTAGCTCCGAATGGCCCACTAATGTACGTAATTATTTCTGGTCGAATTGGGGATATGCCAGGGGACCCTCGTAGTTTTCTGGCAAGATGACATTAAAGGGCCTTGGCACGCAGTAATCGACGTTGCCAATCTAACTCGAACTGCTGGGGATGAATATGGATGGGTTCCTTATTCCGCGAGGTGGCAACGAGGGCCCGAATCATGTCAAAGAACATATCGGCCGTACAAGGTAGGCGTTGAAGCTAAAAGGGGAATCATAGTTAATTGTTTGCATGGTAATTCGGAGAAAAAACATCAAAAGCATGCCATTATAGCTACAAATGTGACTGGTTAAATCGCAAGTAGGTTAGATTGTAAGTGGAGAGACTGCGGAGACTGCAGTTGTTGGTGTGATGATCGAGATCAATCTTAATGAGGGTGATCACAAGGTACTTCCGCAAGTGGCAAGTGAGCTTTGGCCTGGAGTCAGTATTACCGATGCACGCATTGATTAGGAGACACCTGTGAATGTTCTGCAAATGATGGCAAATGCCGTTCAGTATAGACCGTTTGAGGTCAATAGCCTAGCTACCGTGTGCGCCGGAAAGGCCCTGGTGCGTTTCAATAAGCCGATGACTTGAATTAGTGCTGTCGAGTTGGGTGGATTTTTATGCGCAGGAAATCCAGTATCTTTAGTGATTGTGTTTCTTTTTTCCCTTCATCCATCGCTTAGCTCAAGTGTCTTATGGGAATGCCCAATGAGCGCCGGGTAAGCAAATAAGAGAAGATCACAGTTTTTCGACCATTGAGTTTTCACAAGAAATGACAACAACATTTATTATTTGTCATATCTCAATCTGCCGGTGAAAGGAGGCGTTAGCTGAAATCAAGGATTATTTGGTGGGCCGTGTAGTCAAGCCTTAGGCACCACACCAACTGGCCGGTTTGTATTTGTAGTGATTCAATCATTTTATGCTATCTCTACCTCACAACTCGAGACCCGAGAGAACAAACAGGTCACTGAGAATAATTAGTCAAAGGGATATCTCTCATGCAAAGTCCTAATTAATTTTCGTATTGGAACCAACGCATGTACTATGTCCCTGTTCTGATAGGCTATCAACGGATAGCCTATACCCTGCCGTCGGACGGTGTAATGATCCCCCACAATGACGTCGGATATCCCGTAGGCTATATGGAATTAACTGTTCCATGTGAGCTGAGGTGAAACTACCGTGTACTGCCTGCCCTTTGACCGGTCTCCTATATAAACCCAAAGGAGTTTCCCGTGTCTTCATCACCACAAGCAGACAACTCCCAGCCCCGAAGACTCCGTTCAAAACAATACAAATTCTAATATGCAGGAACCAATCTACGACCCCAGGTACGTAAAGCACTGAGCAAAGTTACCGGTTAGAAATTAATTAATACACAGTCGCCCGATGCCCTCCTTGGAGATTGTCTACTCGTACAAGCTGGTCGGCATCCCGAACAAGACTATCGTCAGCCTGCGCGTCGAATTCCCACCCAACGGATCAACTCCCCCACATCGCCACGGTGGCGCGAACGTTGGCGCTTATGTCCTGAAAGGGACACTTCTCAATAAAATGAATGAAGATCCCATGAAAACGATCGAAGAGGGCGGAAGCTGGTTTGAAGCACCCGGGTGTCATCATCGCATCAGCGATAATGCGAGCAAGACCGAACCAGCGACGCTCATTGCTACCATGATCACGGATACTGAAGCATTTGAGAGGGATGGAATGGGTGCTCTGATCCAGATTGATGAGGAGTACCGCAAATGAGAATAGCGGAGGATTGAAGCGATTAATAGCACACTGTCAAAGCACGAATTTCACGGCATAACCAGCGACCCAAAGTCTGTAGGGACGTTACCATTGAAAGGGTAAGGCCCCGTAGAATCTACTGCAAATTAAAGGAACCCGTTTCAGTTAGACTGGGTGCATCCGCATCAAAAAAGGCACAGAAGTCAAAGTCGGCGTCAGGTAACATGTCCAATGCCGCGAAGTCAGGTGAAGTTGGATCCGGAAGCGGTAAGTCAATGGCGACCAAACTAACGGGGGGGTCTTTTGCGAGGGATAACAATTCTCGGGCGATAATTCCAATCTCACGATAGGTCCGTTTGCCTAGCGTCCAATGCTCACTTAGGCGCTTCAAAGTACCCATAGTCAACCGAATCTTCTCCCGGCTCTTCGCTCGCCGGTGCCCAGAAAAGATAAACCTGCAAGCCGACAGATGTGCAATGGTCACATTTGCAATCATGCAAATGATGAAAGGAGAGTGGTTCTTCATATCAGTTGGTAGAGTCAACAGTTCATCAATACTGTTGATAGCCTGGGTACATTTGACAGTATGCAGGTCGCGTTCCTTCGCGTTGTTGCATTTCAGTTTTTCTGACGGGGCCAATGGAGCACAGCGTGATACGGATTCGACTGCGCTATGAGTCAATGCTGACAGCGGTCGATGAATTTCAACGGTGTATCTGGACTTAAGTTAGACAAATGAACAACAGCCAAGGAGATTGTAGATCTCACGTGTGCATGATGAAGAATGCTTTGAACATCACCTCATCAAATGATCCATCGGGACGAATTAATTGTCTTTTTTTTGGAGAAAGAAGAGAGCACCACGCTCGAACACTAGTGTCAGCGCTAGCAGCCATTGTAGTGTATATTCGATCATCTGCATTGTTGCCTGGGGATAAGGCCCGATCAATTCCGTAGGTCAAGCCAATAAGTTCCGCATAGGAGGAAAAATCAGTTTCATCTTCGCCGAGGAATTCCCTGTTCTCATAATCTTCTACGGAGCGTGGGGATGGGATGGCCTCGTCACAAGGTCAGCTCAACTCGTTTAAAGAAATAAAGTGGTTGCTTTACCCCTTTTTCATACTGTTCTTCTTCACAAGGAAGGTCGGTAGAGATTTCAATACCGTTTGTTCGGAACGGGTATGTATGGGTAGATCCTGTGGTTATTAGCAATGCAAAATGGGGGTAGTAATTAGTGTAGTGGGCATACCAGCAATGTGGGCATCGGTTATATAAATCACCCACCAAGTGCGGCGCCAACTTTCCTCTAGTACAGAGTCGCCTTCTGCGTAGTTTTCAGCGAATTCTGTTTTGTTCATCCCAAGGGCTACCGCCGTGCGAATTGTTTCCTCAAGGAGCTCAACGCCACTTTCCGGTTCATTGCACCAGTAGACAGCGATAGAGTAAAGCAAGAGAGCTTGAACATCAAATGGTGTAAGAGGCTGGATTGATGACCGGATTCCGACTACTGAGTCCTGAGCACGTTGGGCGCATGATTCTAATAACTGCGATGGACAGGAAATATCGAAAATAGATCCGATATAACACATCACTCGAAGGAGAGGCTGGATTTTCGCCTCGTTGAGACGAGTCTTAAAAAATTGAAAAGGCAAGGCGCATGGATGGGCCGCATGAAAGAACTCGTAATACAAACTCAGAAATGAGGAAGCCGAGGTGGAATACGATTCAATTTCCCCGTTAGGAGCGACAGAAGAGGAAGAACCGACAGTGGAGGTTTGGACCGATAAGCTAGTAGAGTTTTCATGGATATCTCTGACAGGTGACAGCGTGGGTTTCGCCGATTTTGGATTTCCACGTCGCCGTGATACAGGATAAGTACATTGTACTGCATTTATGGCACAGCGTGAGCAGAAGGGCTTACGGCCGTCGCAGCGAATGTGTTTGTGGCGACATTGGGCGCAGGAAAGAGAATTCCGTGTCCCACGCTTGTCGGGTTTGGGTTTGGTCCTGCCTGGCGGGATATCTGACATGGCTCTTGGGGATATGACAAGAATGTGGCGAGAAAGGAAACAAGAGTCACGTCCCGTGGATTGTTCCTGGTCCTCTATCTCAGATTAGTCATGCATTACCACGGCCGGAGCCGACCTCGGGAGGCCACCTCCAGGGCTTTCAGGGCCCCGGGTGTGTGGAGCTGGGCACTGGGCATCTGTCTATGAGGACATACATCCCCAAATACATTTAAGCAGAATTTGCTCGCCCAGCAGACGCCTATGGAAGGTCAAATCAGCAGCTCACCATAGTGTTTGACCCAACTATGTATTCAGTCTCCCCAATCCCTATGTTGGGATAAAATGTTAGAGAGAACAGATATAAATTTGATTCCCAAGTTCTTTTCTAAAATTATGTCTTCAACATTAACAATTTGTGGAAAGAACAATCATGCTTTCACGGGCGGATGAGTCTCTTCTGTTTCGGTCCTGAGGCTCGCGTCACTGTTCCAACTTTTGAAATCCCGAGTCCGTAACCTCAACGAGAACATGCGATCAATCTCCATTGGTGTCCGCCCTTTCATCTCTGGGATAGCCAGCCACACTACAACGACTGCAACAGCGGCAAATCCTGCCATCACGAACCCTGTTTTCGCCCCCAAGTTTCCTTGGTCTGCGTTGTAGATATACGGCAAGATGATGGCGAATACTGCAGTTCCGACACCACTCGTAAACCACCCAATACCTTGAGTCTTGGCTCGAAGTTGCAGCGAGGACGCCTCGGCGGCGACAACATGAGACGCAGGCCACGATCCAAAGCCAGAGACCATACTAATCATCATCATGCTAACCGCTGTATACCTTGTGCCAAGTTAGCTCTTCATCCTAGAGGTCCAATATAGTGTCTTACCATATTGTCACAGTTCCCTTGAAGACTCCTGAGACTCCTATAGCAAACCATAGAACCATAACAATACCCAGAGTCAGTAGAATGAGGGATCTTCTTCCAAAGGCATTCAGTGCCCACAGACTTATAACATTCGCAATCAGGCCCAGTCCGATACCCAAAATCAAGAATATCAAGCTGTTAGATGAACTCATGCCCACGATCTGCATAAAGTACGAGGCATTTGCCAGCAACTGAAGTCCGAACATCTGGGGTATCACGTTTGCAAAAGCCACAACCAAAGTTCGGCGCGTGTTGACTCCTCGGAAACAGTCCGCATATGTCTGGGTTGCGCTCTCCTCGTCCTCTGCTGAAATTGACGCCTGTAACTCGTCGATTACAGTTTGTGAGTTGACAAGATTGGTATCAAGCTTTTTCTGTGCCTCGAGAGCTTTGTCCTTTTTCCCTTTTCTCAGCAGCCATGTTGGACTCTCCGGTAAAAGCGTTGACAGAACGAACGGGACAGCTGAGAACGGCCATTGCGACGCAAAGCAAATCCGGTAGGATTGTGCGCCTGTATGCTGAAGCGAAGTATAAACCACGATAGACCCAACCAGTTGTCCAAGAAGCGTGAAGATCGGATAGAATGCAATGATTGGTCCTCGGAGAACAACAGGGAGTACCTCGGACATGTACGTCTGTGTAACACAGAGGAGAATACCAATGCAGATTCCCTGAAACAATTTACCGGCGAAGAAGACCCCTTGACGAGTTTCCATTCCGTCTGGTAAATCAGCAATGTAACAAATTGCGACCGCAATGGTAGATAAGAAACTGCCTATAGCGAGCGTAATCCGACGCCCACGACGGTCTTGATGGTAACCACCGAGGATGGAGCCCAGCATCAAGCCGATGCAACTGGAGACGTTCCAAAGAGAAAGCCACATTGAGGGAATGATGTATTTTCCATTGAGTTCCTGGCCGAAAACAAGTCTCTCGCGTGTCAGCAGCGACGCATTCTAATATTTTTGGGGGTTGGTTTACTGGAATTGAGGCATTGCAGCCACTGTCCCCACAATAACAAGGTCATATCCATAGAGAAGAATTGCTGAGCTTAGCGTGAGACAATAGCCCACGATTCTGGGAAATTTCTTGATCGATTGCCAGAGTGGTGTGTGCCGTGGCTTTCCGCCTGCATCGATGCCATCCGTGCGATCAATGGCATTAAACCCATCTTCGTTGAACTCTTTGGTCGATTGTGTCTCTGTGAGAATCATAATGTACAGATTCTTAGAGAGATGACAAGAGGGGTGGCAAGGAGGATGAAAGGGGAATTTCTTTGTCTTAAATCTAGTATAGAATGGCCCCTACAAGAAGGATAGAACAAAGAAACCCGTATACCAACCTTAAAAGGGGGGACGAGCAAGGTATATTAAATGTAGAATCTCTCCATCGCATATGCAATAAAACAACGGGACGTCGCCCTCAAATCGAATTTCTTATTTTTGAGTATTTTCTCAGCACTGACCTACAATGTGTCACTAACAAAGATAGCTGGGTGGTTTCTTGATCCTAATTTGGCTGCGAGGCATTCCCCGCACGGTTGCCAAGTGATCGCCTCACAAAAGAAGACTATCGCTTCGAGATAGCTGGGGTAATCCATGGCTTCCCGCTACTCTACAGTCATGTGTTTTGACTCGCACATCCGGTATATATACAAGCAGCCACAACAGACTAGTATGGCGCCAACTCGCCACACTAGATGCGTTTACAAGAATTTCAAGTATCACTTCTGTTTTCGATTTATATTGAAGGAAATCTTCCCTCTGGGCGAATCTTGAGAGAATGAGCATTTCAAGTTCAAGATCGAGACCATATCGCTAGGAGACTGAACGGACTGGTTGAAGAGAAGTATTGACAAGAAGCCGAGGCCTGCATCATGCCTCATAACCTTTCGTCTAGTGAAAACAGCCCAGAATAAATTAGGGCTGCCTACCCTCGCCTGGCCGAGATATGCAGGCCACGACAGAACGCAATCTCCGTTGATCGCTATGATCCAAAATCCGCCTGGTTTACCTATGCTTCACGTCAATACCATGATACATTACTCGCTTTAATTCCATAGTTTTAATATCCCAGATCCTAAAATATGCTTTCTTGTTCACTCCCCTTCACATCTCTCGGCAAACTTAACGCTGTCAGTCTGAAATAGGTATAGAGTATGGTGGGTTACGCGTATTGAAAATTCTAAGCATGACAGCTCACTATTGACAATGAAACTGGCAGTTCATTACCCCGGTGTATTCACCCATATCAACTAGCTCTCCATATTGCAATCTACTTAGGATGGAGTACTTGGGAGGGCACCTCCAAGAAGGCAAGATGTGAATCATTTCATTTGGGTCGTCTAGTTTGCCTTGCTCTGACGTGTCACAGTTGAGAGTTCAATCGACGTAGATCCTGATCGTCCCTCCTTCATTTTCTCCAAGTTCTCCAGGTGTTGCTTCAATGCAATAATCTCACGTTCCAACTCAGCTGACGAAGCGAGCCGATATTTGAGCTTCAAAATTGCAGCTGAAATTAAGAGCAGTGCGAGAGACGTGAGGGATACCCACTGACCAACCTGACTCGGAGTCTCCTCTGACGGTCCGTCATTGAAGATTTGGATCTCTATCCAAACGACAAAGGCAACGATGGTAAATGGACTGACTATCATACTGAATAATATGCCAAAAAGAATTGTAGCGTCAACAAGCACATGGAGAAACGACTTGAGCAACCGACGCGACTTGAGGAACCGGCGGCTGAGTATGTGTCGCATTCGGTGCCAGACAGAGGTCTTGTTGTTTGCCGGCCCAGGGTCTTCTTCGTTGTTTTCCAAGTTTGTTGGTAATTCTATGGCATCACAAACTTCGTTTTTGAAGCTTTTCCAAATAGTCTTCCGCTCTTTCCAGATAACCATGATCTGCGCTGATGGGATCCGTGATCGATAAGGGAGGAATCGGTAAGTTAGGAGGAGGCAATTTAGGATCAGGCAGAGAATAATGAGACTGTAGATGTATCGCTGCGAGTAGATGACCTTTTTCCAGAAGCTATGGGAGGTAGCACCGTGCAAGCCCCCATCTGCAGTGGCTGAATGCAATGAGCCTGGCTTTCGTAAAATTTGAGTTGTATTGAAACAGGGGTTGAAGCAGATATCTCCTAGTTCGTTCCATCGTGATATGTTCGAAAAGGTATCCCACACACTGTCGTTCCACGTGGATTTTCTCCATGAGGCTTGCCAGCCGTCATTTGATGTGTCGCTGTATGGCGCAAGATCAGGAAAGCAAAACATGTACTGGGGTGGGGTTTTTGGTATCTTTGCGGCATAAACGAGGGCACATATAGAGCCAGCCAGCATGAGGGCATTCCAAAGATAAAAAAGAAGGTTCCGTGCTCGATCGTGGGTTAGGATGCGGGACCAGCACTGGAGAGGTAGAAATACGAGATAGCCAGTGACAACGATGGCAAGAACAGCATCCGAGTCAAGCTCAAGTGATGCGGGTGAGACCACAACATGGTCCGTTTCGGTGACCAAAGAAGGAAATTCCTTTCGTAAGCTGGAGTTGGCAGACAGGTACGGAATATCGACACGTCCAGGGTCTTGGGACGTTTGGTAACTAGAAACCATAACGAAGGCTTGGATTGCCGCGGTTCCTGCATATGCCGCTGCAGTTCCTAAAAATACATTCATGACCCATCCTGTCCATCGAGTGACACAGGTTGCCAGCAGAAGCGCATAGAAGAGATATCGCGGACATGAGTTGTATATTGTACTGATTGGATAGAAACAGAGAGTCTCCTGGGCAACGAACAAGGGGAAATCCGTGTGATCCATTGGAGGAATAGTTGTGAAGAGAGATGATTTTCGTTTTCTGGTTTTAATTTCTTTTCTGTGAGGCTGCCATTTTTTGTGACTTTTCTCTAGTTAAGAATGACGTCATACATTTTCCAATCCATATTTCGTATTCTGACTTGCCAGTGTTCTATCACAATAGAAATAGAAATAGAAAATAATTAGTGCAATTGCAATATCACAGAAATAACGAATATATATTTCGCTGTAGATGAAAAAAATACATTGGAGGGGAAATATTATGAGGGAATGAATTACATCGCCAATATACTCCTACATAAATACATGAGTTCTAACTAGTCGATATATGCCACGGCAGGGAGGTTTCAGAATTAGAAAGTCATCCGACATATTCCATAATTATCACACTCTTTCATTATATCTATAAAAATCCAATGCCCAATTCCGAAATCTACGTACTCGTGCTCTAATTAGATATGTGACCACTACCCCACCGATGCAATCATTCATTGCTTCCGGTCATTAACTTCATCCACGATATACATTACAAGTCTCGTAATGGGGCCACCCCGGCGTTTCGGTCTTTGGCCTCGTCTTTTTTCACCAGTTTGTCCCTGCAGACGGCCACTCTCCAGTTCCACTATATCTTCTCCGCTGTGGACACTTGGCTGCTGTGTGTACTGTGCGGTGGGTCGAACTTGAAGTGTAAGACCGATGCCCAGGCACACAAAAACAACCACCATCTCTTCTAGGACAGACATCACAAGCTGAATTGTAACATTTCCTGACACCATATTGAATGCGCTCTTGTGACCAAAGGAATAGATGAAAGAGTAGACCAATCGCACGAGGATCAAGGGGAGAGAGATTCCCACGGCCAGGAGCAGGCGATGTTCTCCATCCTCGATACTTTGATTGCGTTGCAAAACCAGAAGGAATAGTCCGAGCACACCGATCCAGGTAACAAGGTAGAGGATCATCCCAACCTTCGACTCTGTGGTGACAAGGCCTTGGCCAATATTTGAGTTCGTAGTTGCGCCAACGATGCTCAAAATCACCGCAACTAGCGAAATTATGCTAATAACTCGGAATATAATCTGAGGGAGAGGTTTACCGGTCTTTCGCATAATGGAGTCATTTCTAAGAAATGTCATTAGTTCCAAATCACCAAGTCAATCGCGAGGGAAGGTGTTGCTCACGCTCGTGATAAAAGACCAATGCAAGCCAAGATTAATGGCGACAGTCCGAGTGAAGTGCAAACAGCCCATGCAATATATAGATTGGCATTGGAAGGATAGTGAACGGTGGCCAAGTAGCATCCTGAGCCAACAATGCGGGCAAGACAAAAAAGGATGAAAAAGAACCACCCTGAGCTCCTGCCAAAGCCATGGTGGAATGCCATCCAGAGAGCAAGGAAGAGTGTTGGAGAGTAAACAATGATCTCTAGGATCGAGATCCCATGCCGATAATCGATGGCCATAATCGCAAGTGAGAATGGATGAAGAGTATTGCAATCAAGAGGAAAACAGACAACCGATTGATGCTTGTATTATCCTCGATTCATGTGCCTCCGTCTGCTATTTAACTCTTTTGATACTATCTCAGCTCGCGACGTTTTCCTATTTATTCCATAAGGCAGTGCAATTCATTTTGTTATAACAGCTGCGGGCCCTATCCGAATAGAGTAAGCGATGCGGATACTCCACTCGAATAGATTATTGGCCAACCACATCCCGCTCGGGCACATATTGCATACTGGATTCGGCTTAGCGCATCGGGTAGCCCTGCTTAAGCTTCCTAGCTAAGCCTCTCTGGATGCCACAAACCCATTGCTTGGTGAATATTCTGACAATCTGACTGTATTGCATCTCCGTGCGGCTGTAAAAATCTCACCGAGAAAAGGATCCGACAATTACGAAGAGTTCGACTTTCTTGGCGGCCCACATAGGGGACTTCTTCCTGCGGAATTTCCTTGGCGGGCCTCTTTTTCTCGGGCATCCTAGCGCATGTCGCTTGGCATCATGGTGCGAGTACATCATACCTTGTTCCAGCGTGTGCCATTCATGGGTAAATTTACAAAGGGTCATGCTAGCGTTCACACTTGATGAAGTATATAATGCCATTCGTTTACCCTAGTCAGACTGAGCATTACCGTGACATTTGACTATAGTCGCAGTGTCTCTATCATAGTCAAGATGGGACGTCGTTCTGGCCAGGCTGGCAACCTTTTTTTAACATTGTGGGTCAGCTCTATGTGGTGGTTTTAGACTTTCTGGTTACTCTCAGCCCTGAGATAAGAACGAGGCCGGAAACTTTGAGTTCTGACGTGGTATGTATGTCCCACATTGTGAGTAGTGTAGTGAGCAATTTCGAATTCTTGACGTGTTAAAAGATAGAAATGTTCTCAAATACACATAATCCGTGTACCAATATGACAATGATCTCATTGATATGGCGACAGCCTTGATACCATTGAAAAATGGTGTTCCTCCTATGATCAACGCGGAACACGATCAATTTGCATAGCTCTCAAATCTGTTTATGATACCCGGATGTCAACGTAAAGCCATGTCCATATGGTTAATCAACACGACATAGTTCTGTGGTTTTTGAAAGACAGTTTGCGTTTGTGGGGCCAGAGGGAGTCAGTTGGCAAACGCTTGGTTAACAACTTTCGCGCAGCCAGGCATATTGCTTGAATAGCTAAAATCCACGCGAAACTGCTTTGTGAAATTTGGCAAATTTCAACATGAATTTGCCATTTGTTGATATGTTGATATTAGCAAAATATTCAGGATATTGAAGCTCTACACCTTTCCTGTATAGGCAATTTCTATCTAGAGTTGGTGGTTTCGATGGGCCGTGCACCGTAGCTGCATATGCACGGCCAAAACACAGATGCTGAGTGATAGTCAGGACAATGTCTTCAAGATAGAAGACCTGATAATTGTATAATTGCTTAAGTCTGATGCACAATGGCCAAGCCTACTTGGCCCTCTCCCCCCAGGCATCAACCCTGAACATACCCAAATCCTTCGATATAACCTTCCGACCCCCGCCCTTTTGCTCCTTGTTCCCTCTCACTCTTTTTGTAGTGGGGCAAGAACTCACTCCATGGAGCGCGCTAGCCGTGGAACAACTTTTGATTGTATGTTCCATTATGCTTTTAAATCGTGGACTTGGAACTCACTAACACTTTTCAACAGAGAAATTGGGATCCAGCTTCATAAGAATCACCCACTGGAAAATGCCTTTGGCTTATTTAGATTGATTGACTTGGACGAGATGTCCAGTCGATTGAATATGAAACTACATGCAATCTCGCCGTCTCGCCGGGTAACCTCCGAAGAGAATTGAGAAGGCTCTTCAGCCTTGGAGACCCACCGCTCTTCATTAGAAGGCTCGGCGGATGCATTATGGTAAAACATCCTTCTTCGAGCCTATTGTAGCTCTAACCTGGAAAACGACGATACACTAAATCCATCGATAAATGAAGGGACCTAATATCCTGGTAGCTTCCGGCTCGCAAAGGATAATACAGACCTAATCAACCAACCTGAGACAGCTTCCGGAACTATGAAGGTTCCTAGCATTGTCTAACATATTTTGCCTACTTTTCTTTTCACAAAGGAGCAATCATTATGTTGAGCAACTTAGTCCTCGTGAATGTTTCCCCGCTTCCTTGCTACAGGATAAAACAGGGGTTGATCGACATCCCAGAAAGAGTAAGATCACCATTTTTTTTTGTTCTGTTTTATGCTCATCGCCGGAATGCGTCGTATTTCTACCGTTTATCGTATTCGGATCGTATATATCTGCCGAGGCCACACTCCGTATATATTATCACGCCTAAATTGAGGGAGGCATAAGTATGCGGTCGATTTCTTGATTCGTGTACCTCATTATTGCCAGAGAAATCGACTCAATTGCTCACATTTTGTATTTTTGTCGCTGGTTAGCATACCAATTATGCTACTGTTTGCCTTAGGCCTGGTTGGTGTTTCGGCGGCTGTTGGTTCATTGGCAATCGATCCTGGTCCAACAGCTTGTTCCAATATAACATCGCAGCTGGGATCGTCCAAAGTCATCACCAGCAAACTTAGTTTGAAGTATATCTCCAGCACTGAGTATTGGAGCACGCCCCAGGATGCGTACAAACCATCCTGTGTCGTCTATCCTTCATCCTCGGAGGATGTTTCTATGACTCTTCAGGCCATTCGGGCAGCGGGCAGTCAGTTTGCAATCAAAGGAGGAGGGCACAATCCCAACAAGTTCTTTTCGTCAACTGACAAGGGCGTTCTCGTTAACTTGAGTAACCTCTCGGCGAAGTCATATGATCCAGACACAACGTTGGCAACATACGGACCAGGTGGTGTATTTGGCGACATATACGACTACTTCGTGGACTATAACCGCACGGTGGTTGGGGCCCGACTCTCTGGGGTGGGAACTGGCCTCGCCCTGGGTGGTGGCATGAGCTATCTCTCTCCCCAATATGGAATGGCCTGTGATTCCTTCAGGGAGCTGGAGATCGTTCTTCCTGATGGTCAAATTGTGATAGCATCCAACACTTCCAACCCTGACTTATTCTTTGCCTCGCGTGGTGGTGGCGGAAATGCATATGGTGTTGTAACAAAGTACACGGTCCAGAGTCGCCCTATTGGTCAATTCTTCGCGGGGAATATCATCTACGCCTTTCAACAGAAAGACACCGTCGTTGAAGCAATAGGCAATTTTATCCGATATAACACAGACCCCAAGGCCAGCATTATCGGTACTTACGAGAAGCTACCCACCTTAGATTTAAATCTGAACTTGGACGAGGCTGTTATCATGTTTCTCGTCTATGATGGCCCTGACGCAGGAGAGGCGTTCACGAACTTCACCAGAATTCCACATCTCCTCGACACTACTGGCCTCAAGTCCTACCCCGAGGTAGCCGGCATGCCACTTCCAATCGCCACTGAGGTTTCACGTGGGAACAACATCTTCCGTGTTGGAGTCCATCGTGCTGATAATGATGAGTACAAGAATGCCTTAGATGTGTGGCGCAACTGGGGCGAGTCGAACAAAGGCAAATATCTACTCCTTTCGCTCGATTTTCAACCTGTGCCCAAAAGCTTGACAGACGCCAGCAAGGCGCAGGGTGGAAATGCAATGGATATGCCCGACGGCCCATGGTTCTGGTTGAATTATTTGGTCACAACGCTGCCTGGAATGAGCCAGGCAGACTATGATGCCATTCAGTCTAGCTTCCGTGATATGGTTGCGTCGACAACCAATGCCGAAGGTCTTCCGTTGTTCATCAATGATGCACACTATGACCAACATCCTTTGTCGACCTTCTCTACATATGGGAAATTACAAGAGACTAAGAAGAAGTATGACCCAGATAACTTCTTTGCTGACAAGACGGGTGGTTGGTCATTTGACTAGAGGTAGTGGGATATACGCCTTCCTAATTACTAATAATTTATGTTGCTGCACGAGAGTAGATGGAAGTCGTGAATATATACGTCGACTTTGGATCCTCTTCTTTAGACTATCGTACTATAGTGCAAGAGAACAATGCATCATTGGCGTGATTTTTGGGGTAATTTCAAACTTCGAGTTTAAAGTAGAATGTTCGACGGAATTGTATCACATAAATTGCAATGTCATGATCTTAACCCCTCACCTCCGCAGAAATCAGCAGAAAGTATCCATTCTGCTTGACCTGCGACATTCTCCTTCGAAGGGCGCCAATCCTTCAATCCGGTCAACACAAATCCATTCTCAGGCAAGGCTGTGACATAGGTCAAAAGTGTGAAGGTATTTTCTCACTCCCTCTGCTCCCAGCCAGCTAAACAAGCGCAGGCCCTCGCTGCTGTAAGAATTCGAGCGTCACACTTTCCGGTCTTTGCCTATCCCCCAAATCACCTTGCAGCCCAGCCCTAGATAGACTAGGGCTGTTCCCATATGGTGTTCAACAGAGAAGATAGATGAATCTCCCCCCATGGAAGAGTCGTACGATATCCTCGACTTAGTGAAAAGCCAGGGAACTAAAAACCAAATCCTGCAGTTCTTGTCCAGGGTGCTGACTCAAGTTTATAGTCTCCAGATAATGAATCTCGAGGATAGCTTCCGTAGTACGGACTAATATAACCTGGCGATTGATCTCGGCCTCAAACTGGAGTATGGTCGGTCGATCATATTTTAGGAAAGATCGACTCCTTTGACATAAGCAGCGCCTTTTTCGCGAGCCCAGCGGATGAACCAGCCGTAGCTACACCCTACGTCGAGAACCCGAGATCCGTTGGGAAGGTTTTCTGATGGTCCTACGGGCAAGGCCTCGGGGTTGAGGATCATCTCTTCTAGGATAGGCCATTCTGGTGTGGCTGGCATACCATGTTGGAATCGAGGGAGGCATGTAGAGAAGAATTTTAGGTTGTCGTAAAATATTTTAGGATTCAACAGATATTGTTATGAGGTTAAACCTCGTACGTCACTAACGACAAGTAACTAAATATCACTTTGTGGCCCGATCGTTGAGGATAAGTTATGGGGACAAAACAAAAACTCTCGAATGAACTAGAACTAGAAAATATTTGGTCTGATGGTGTGATATAGACTACGTATGTAGATAAATAAAGAGCTAGCGGGATTACCCACTTTGTATACTTATCAATCCTGTCCCCGCTCTATTTTGACATGCCAAGCATATTTAATTCCTGAGTAATTATCCTCCTAGTTGTCTTTCTTGCTTTTACTGATATACTGTTTGGAAGTCTTCCAGATACCTCTCGCACCGATCGCAATATCCTGGCGTCCGTCATAAAGTGGGAAAATCACAACCGCTCCAAAAGCAGCGAACTGCCAGATGATGGCGACAACTACCCATCCTGCAAAGAATGATTTGGTGAAGATATAATCGCGATACAGTGGAAGCGGCCAAGCAACAAACGTGATCAGCACGATAGCTCCGAACATGTACCAAGCAATCTTGAGCCATCTGTACAACTCTTTCAACGTTTCGTCGTCGAATGGGTGCTGAATATCATCCAAGTTCGTTTCCACAGAAGATGGCGATGAGGTCTGCTGCGTTGTATTCTTTTCGCTGATGTTGCCAATCTTCTCTGGGTCGTTGTTGATACTTTCTGGTTGACTATTGACAACCGCTGTGACGGATCCATCGACGCCCTTTGGATCACTTGTGTGGACTTCCTCGCTGCTCTCGTTCAAAGTGCTTGCGTCTGAGGGCGACTGAATTTCTGCTTGGTCTGCAAGCTCAATTCGAAGGAACACCCTCCAGTCGAACTTATAAGGTTTATAGAGTGACAGGACAACGGAATAAAGAGCCGGCGTAAAGAAGGAAGCAATGGCTGCATATAGTGCTGGATAGGGATTTGAAGTGGTGGTGATGTTGATGTGGCCATACATGTATTTGGTTGTTGCCAACCAGACAGCGAGACCTGAAAAGAAGCCAAGCACGGGAGAGATAATCGCAGCTATCCGGGTCTGGCGAGACCAGAACAAGGTGAGAATCATAGGAATGATTCCTGGGCAAGAGATGATCGGTCTCAAGTACCCGATCCATGTCATGTTTGCTCCTCCATAGTTGAGAGCGATGGAAATGCCGGTGATAAAGACACCGTGGATAACCACAGTCAAGTGACTCACTCCCACAATTTGCTTGTCGGTAGCTTTGGGGTTGAGGTAAGTCTTATAGATGTCATAAGACAAGATGCTACTAACAGCAATCATTGAGGAGGAAACGGTACTTGTCAGAGCCATGAACAAAAGAAAGAAGAATCCAATGATTCCTTTGTCTCCAATGAGTGCTTTGATAGTGTATGGCATCACCATCCCCGAGCTGACTTCAGTGGCAGTAAGTAGACCAGGGTAGGTCGGAAAGATTGGTGTGTCGTGAATTGCCCTGGTTGCCAAACCGATAACTGTACCCAGACCCCAGGGGATACCGAAAACAGCCAATGCAGCGATGTTATATCCTGGAACCGTTGCCTTGACCTCCGTCGCAAAGGACTTTTGCCAAAATGCGGTATCCTACCGACGACAGATTAGCTTTGCAAAAAGTATCGAGATACCTTTCAATGTCCCCTTGTTGAATTAACTTACCATAACGACAAGTGCCAGGTTTCCGAACTTCAGGATCAACCCCCAAATAATTGCATCCTTGGACTTGAATGTAAGAAGTGAACCTTGATAATTGTTGGGGATATAATTATCCGCAGCTGTTGCGATAACTTTATCGTACAAACCACCTAGTCCACCGACAGCAGAGTTTGTCAAAACGGCAATGGTGAAATAGATGATGAGAATGAGGGCAATTGCCGTGTGCAAGAAGTCCGTTAAGAATGTGGCCTTCAAGCCACCTACGGCTGTATAGAGAACAACTATAAAGAGGTTAGCTCCTGATTCCCCATATATTTAAGAAAGGAATGACACAAACCTCCGAGGGGAACAAGAATAGTTGCTGCTACATAGTGCATGCCGGAAACTCCATGAATGAGCTGAGAACCCGTCATAATCATCGAGGCGCAGCCGAAAACATTGTTGACGAGGTTGAGCACGATAAACACGAGATGTCCAATCTTGCCATAGCGCATCCGAACGACTTCGAGCGATGTATGAGCATAAGGGACTCGAATCTTGGCCATAACACCAAGTGCTGCCATCAGTGCAATTTGGAAGCATAGACCAGATCCCCACCACTATGGGTCGTTAGCCATGTAAGGTCTTTTGAGGGGATAAGGGAACATACCAGAGGCACTGCAAGACCGTACCGATATGTCATAGCCGCACACAATACCGTCTCGTTGATCCACATCCAAGAACTAAAGACTGCAGATGCACACAATCCTCTCCCTACAGAGCGATTGGCGACCATGAACATTTCCGATTTTCCTGAATCTTCAGCAAGATACGCTTTCTGCACCTTCACGGCAATCAGGATGACTCCACAGAAGAGCACGCTGAGGCCAATGAGAAGGCCGTAGGCCGCCCCCTGGGGGATCAAGGCCAGCTTGGACGTATCTACCGTGTTAGACATATCTGGGCAAAGTAAAGCCAAGTCCAAATGTGCAGGGCCGAGAAATATTTATTGTCTGAGAAGTCCATCCTATCTTCGATGCCAAGCCTGTTCCCTTCAGATATGCGGCCAATTAGTGCTCTCTGAAGGGTTGCGGAGCAATCAGAGTTACCAGGTGGGCGATATATCTCACGTCGTCCATGTCCGCAATTGCGTTATACAGAATGAGTGGAAGAGACATGACTAAAGAGTCTAGACACATTGTCATTGGAAGATCGAAACAAAGCTAATAGGCTCAACGTGTGGTGGTTGCCGAAGATATGTGATTGTCAGGGAGATTGTGGTTGGGATTGCGTGCCTCGACTCCCCGATTGCGATAAAACGACGTGGAATCGCGAACGACAAGGGTCACTGCGTACCCCACACACGAGGCTAATTTATCGGCCGATATGGGATTCAAAATATTCATCGTAAATGTCGAATGTCGAATGTCGAATTTCGATTACGAATGGGAGATAAACCTCCGACAGTGGTGCGATCGTGATAGCGCGTACTGTATACTTCCGTCCACGGTGTATAAAAAGCTGTTCCCGTTGCTCAGGACTTGGCATTTAAATCTCAGTGACTATTCAAATCCACTGCAAATCCTAAGAATCGTAGTTCAAAATGAGTGAAAGCACACCAACCTCCAGCAAAAAGCAAATCATCCTCAATGCTTTCGTCATGAATACCCCGGGCCATTTGGCACCTGGCCTATGGAAGCACCCCAGAAACAAGACCGACCAGTACAAATCACTCTCATTCTGGACCGAGTTAGCTCAGTTGCTTGATAAAGCCGGTTTCCATGCCATGTTCATTGCAGACACCCTGGGCGCGTACGATGTATACAAGGGCCCTGGCAATGTTGTGCCCGCGTTGGCATCAGGCGCACAATTTCCCGTCAATGACCCCCTATACCTTGTTCCTGCCATGTCCGCTGTCACAAAGAACCTTATTTTCGGAGTGACTGCCAGCGTTACATACGAGAAGCCATATGCGCTCGCACGCCGACTCTCTACCGTGGATCACCTCAGCGAGGGTCGTGTGGCATGGAATATTGTCACGTCGTATCTGGACAGCGCAGCCCGAAACAACGGGTTGGATGAGCAGATTCCTCATGATGAGCGATACGCAAGAGCAGAAGAATACCTCGAGGTGCTCTACAAGCTCTGGGAAGGCAGTTTCCGAGACGATGCCGTGCTCGCCGACCGACAGCTCGGAACATATATTGCTAGCGATGCTGTGCGAGAGATAGATCACAAAGGGAAATACTTTAGTGTCCCCGGGCCACACTTCTGCGAGCCATCGCCACAACGTACACCATTCCTGTTCCAAGCCGGTGTCTCCGAGGCCGGTGGTCAATTCGGTGGAAAGCACGGCGAGGCAATCTTCATCGGCGGTCAAACTCCCGAAAGCACTCGCTTGACGGTAGATAATGTACGAAATGTTGCTAAAGAGCAAGGTCGTGATCCCAAACATATCAAAGTCATCGTGGGTATCAACGTGATTGTCGCAGCGACAGATGAAGACGCAAAAGCGAAGCGGGAGGAATATCTCCAATATGCCGATGACGAAGGTGCACTAGCTTTGTTCGGTGGATGGACCGGGATCGACCTATCAGGTTATTCTGATGATGAGGATTTCCGATTCAGCGACTCACCGCGGGTCCAGTCCATTGTTCGGAGATGGTCTGCTACCGTTCCAGGTACAGATAGCTTACCATGGACCAAACGGAGGATTGTAGAATACATCAGTGTTGGTGGGCTGCAGGCCAAGATTGTCGGCAGCCCCACGACAGTTGCAGATGAGTTGGAAAAATGGGTGGAGATCTCCGACGTGGATGGTTTCAATCTTGCCCATATTGTGAATCCAGGGACTTTTGAAGATATCATCGAGTTTTTATTACCTGAACTTCGACGGAGAGGTCTTTTCCGAGAGGGAATTGAGAAAGAAGGTGCTACAGCTCGTGAAGTGTTTATTGGATCGAAGCGTTTGCCAGAGGATCATCCTGGAAGCAAGTACAAGTGGCGGTCAGGGGAGACCATTCCTCAGTATCAGACTACGGAGAACTAGGTATTATACGCATGTACAGCCTTGGAATCATCTGAACAATACATTCGTGTAATCAACGGGAATAAGTTCAATTATATCCGGGGCCTCCACAACATTACAAATCAATCCACCACATAAATATCAACTTGATCTGTTTGATTTCCACCATCGAGTCCCAGATTTCAAAATGAAGGAAGCCATTATTGACAAGACTATTTCGGCCATCATCCGGGACATTGACATCCCTACCCCCGAACCTGGCCAGGTCCTCATCCGGGTAGTGGTGTCGGGTACCAACCCAAAGGACTGGAAACTCCCTAAATGGCACCCAGACAATGTCATTAACCAGGGAGACGATATCGCAGGATATGTGGAGGCAGTGGGAGAAGGAGTCTGGAACTTCCGCAAGGGAGACAAAGTGGCAGCGTTCCACCAGATGGGCACCCCGCATGGAAGTTATGGCGAATACGCCATTGCATGGGAGTACACGACATTCCATCTCACTGACAAGACGAGCTTCGAAGGTATGTATTCCCTCGTCCTAATAATCACAGAATGCAACTAACGTATTGACCAGAGGCTGCTACAATCCCCCTTGCTGCGATGACTGCTGCATTGGGACTATATCAAGCGCTGAAATTGCCTCTGCCCTGGGCACCGGCCGATAAACCCACTCCTTTGGTTGTGTACGGCGGTGCCTCGGCGGTTGGCGCATTTGCGATCAAGTTCGCTCAACTATCCAATATCCACCCCATCATCGCTGTCGCGGGCAAAGGCGCTCCCTTTGTCGAGACGTTGATCAGCAGGGAAAAGGGAGACACGATCATTGATTATCGTGAAGGCGATGACGCCGTCTACGCAGGGATTAAGGCTATCGGCAAGGAGACACCCATTCACCATGCCTACGATGCCGTGACCGAGAAGGGAAGCTATGTGACTCTCGGTGCTGCTCTCGATGCACCTGGAAATATCACTGTCATTCTACCTGCGGAAGCTGATAAGGTAAAGGAGCAAATTAGTATCCATCGGACCATGGTGGGGACTGTTCATATTGCCCCTGCTGAGGGCCAGGCTCTTGGTGATAAGGAATTCGCGGCTGCTTTCTTCCAATTCATTGGTCGAGGTCTCGCACAGGGTTGGTTCTCGGGCCATCCGTATGAAGTTAGAAAAGGTGGACTGGGGGGTATTGAGGGCGCATTAAAAGATCTGCAGGCTGGCAAGGCATCTGCGGTGAAATATGTGGTTAAAATTGCCGAGACTGAGGGAGTCCGGCAGTAGTTATACACGAGAAAGCGATCTCGAGTTAATCTATGAATGCCTTGGCAATGATTTTATAAAATATATATTAAGCCAGATCGGGAAGTATAGATCTAAATCGGGACCGGGAATGACATCACCGATAAATTCTCCAAGTCGCGCGACGTGAATATACTGCGTCGATTCCAATAACCAACGCCCAACACCTTCTCATTCCACAATGGCAAAACGCACGCTTGACGCATTCTTCAAACCACAAACCACCACTCCTAAACGTCCCAAAACCGAACCCTTCGAACCCAACAGCGCAATCCCAACACCAAAACCAAACAATATCCCAATCGAAGACACCAAACCCCCAAGCCAACACCCAAGCTACCCAATCCCAATCGCCCAACTCCCCTCCCACATCAAAGTAGGTCTAGAACACGCAACACCAGCAACCGCACCGCGCGAAATAAACAACCAACCACACCTCGACCTCCTCCACTTCCAGCCATACATCCCCCGCCCAACAGCCAACGAGCTATTCAACTTCCTGCGTCGCGAACTCCCCTTCTACCGCGTGCAGTACACAGCACGACGGGGCGACATCGAAACACAAATCAGCACACCACGATGGACAACAGTCTTCGGAGTCGATGAGACATCGACATTCATCCAAGAACCAGGCAACAACCCCAACAGCCTTGTTCTACTAGAAACCAAGACCAAGACCCCAATCCCAAAGACAAAGTACCAGTGCACGCCACGCCCAATCCCAGCTTGTCTCGATCTCCTACGGAGACAGGTCGAAGCAGTGAACGCAGCCGCAAACGCAGATAACACAACCCCCAGCTATAATTTCTGCCTGGTAAATTACTACGCCAGCGGAGAAGACAGCATCGCATTCCACTCCGATGACGAGCGCTTCCTCGGACGCGAGCCGAATATCGCCTCGCTGTCGCTGGGCGGCGAGCGGGATTTTCTAATGAAGCATAAGCCTTTGGTGCCCGGGGGAATTACGAACCGGGCGGCGGGTGGATGCGGGCCTGGTACTGCACATGCGATCTCCGGGCTGGGTGGTACTAGTGCGACACGGGCGAGTTGTACGGTTTCGGGTGAGACGTCGAATTCGAATACGGCTTCATCTCCTGGATCCAGGCCTGCTGCTACGGTGCCACTGCAGCAAATTAAGATGAGTCTTGGGTCAGGCGATATGGTTATTATGCGCGGGGCGACGCAGTCCAATTGGTTGCATAGTATTCCTAAGCGGAAGGGAAAGGCTGGGGAGGCGATGAGGGGACGGATTAATATTACTTTTCGTCGGGGTGTTGTTCATGGCGCGACCAATAATTATTACCATTATAATGTTGGTAGTGGGGGGATGTATCGGTGGGATGAGGTAGCGAGGGAGATGATTCTGCGGGATAGCAAACAATAGATAGTTACGCGGTAGCTAGTAGCTACTCGATGTATGATTGAGCATAGAAAAGATTTGAATGAAAAAAAAATATACATGTTTGCCGTAGCACGAAAAGAATATCCCATGCCTGTGAGTTGGACGTACAACTCGAGGCGAGACGGATGATATCACTATCACTGTGATAGCCGTTTCGGCATATTTCAGTCTTTGTACATTTGCTTCTGATAGATGAAAAAAATTGATATCGAAGCAAGTCATCATGTGGCATTGGCACTGTGTCTTCCCAGTAACCATGGTATTTCTCCTTTAGGGAGTTCCGGCAAGTGCCGGGTAATAAAGAAACATATCCTGGTGGAAATACAAGAGCTATCGGCCCTTGTAGACATAAAAGGAATGACTTGAAATGATCAGTAGTTAAAGATGACTTCTTCGCCGTAGACATCTGCGTAGCATTGGAACAAATCAGGGCAGCTGCAATCAAAAATGTTAGCGGGGAAATTAATACACTAGTGGGACACTTACAAGACAGGGTCCTTGCCGAAAATGATGTGCCATGAATACTCCATAATGTTGGAGGTAGCCTCGTCCGGCAGGTCATTATTCATCACCCAGTCATACATGCGCTTATAATCGCTGTGGGGGCGCTGGAGAATCTGCTCTCGGGAAACGGCGAACTGGGAGCAGCACGGGGCGGCGATTTCGCGGGGCACCGGCTCGCCGGGGAACAGCTCTTTCCAGGCAGCAGCGTAGTGTGCCTCGCCCTGGCTTTCGGGATTCGGAGGTTGACGGAATGGTTGGATGGCAGAGGGACATCCTGGGCTCAATTGGCAACGCAAGTTGACAAAGCCTGCTTGTTGCACAAATTCCTTCTGCAATGCGCGCACCGAGTCCACATTGCTGTAATCCATGGTGTCGATATGCCAGCCGGCGATTACACCGTCGCGGTGACTGTGCAGGAAGACCACGACGTCAGGAAGGTCATCGTAGTGGTCGATCAGGTATTGGAGGTAGGGGAGAGCCTCGCGACCCTTGTTCTTCGGGGTATGTGTCGGGGCATTGATATCGTCGACGGTGTAAATGACGCTGCGCCATCTGGAAATATTCAATTAGGCTGTCTTCTGCTGGAAACACAATCGAGCCACACTCACTCTGCCAGTTCCGCTCCGACCCAAGCGGTATCTTCCTCCTTGCGTTTGGCCATCACAATAGCACCCTGGTTGGGGACCACGATCTCGGTGGTCTGGTAAACCAGGGCGGGCTTATTATCCGATGCAACCCGCCATTTCCGTTGCGATCCTGTATCAGATTGGAGTTTTGGTCGGAGGGATGTGCGGAAGGATCCGGTATCGAAGTGCCATAGATCCTGAAGTGATTCACCTTTGCTCTTTAAACTGCGGTTGACCAGGACTAGAGTGAGGATAATTAGTGCGGCAGCGGCACTGACACGAATTGACAACCTCATCGCATAACGTGGTTGTCAAAATCGAGGGAGAGGGTATAGGGGGAGCGACGGTGTGAGAGGAGAAGGATGAGAAAAGGACAGTGTCTCAGAACGCGCAATCTTAGTGAAGTAATAAGCACCGACCCATGCGGAGGCCGGGGGAACAAACTTCACTCGCGTACTCTGGACGCGAGATGACGAAAGTGCCGAGTCAAGGGATGAAGTAAGTACTTCGAGAAGGAATGGAATCAATTGAGATAGGTGAAATAGGTAATAAGAGGCGGAGGACGACCTTCCTCCAAGAAGAGAAATGGTGAAGAAGGAAAAAAAAAAAAAAAGAAAAAGGGAAATTGGCGCTTTCCTTATTTAGGAGGGGGGGCTGCTTTCTGACCCATTTTTGGCCATTTGGAGCAATTTGATTGGAGGGATTGATAAATCTCGACCTATCTACTTGAGTTTATTTTAATTTTTAATTTTAATTTCCAATTTTTTATATTAATTTCGACTTAAAATTAATTATTTCAGGGGTACATAAGGCTTACTCGATGTGGTACGGAGTAAAGAGAGTACGTAGATAGACCCTTAATATCAACCCGGTCCAGCAAATAGACGTACACTCTTCAAACTAATTTCTCCATTGGACCCTATACATGACACATATCCCGTGCAAGGGGATACCTCCCGTGTTTGAACTAACTGCAGATCAATTTGCAATATACACCATATACCCCAACACCCAAGAAATAAAAAAATAAAAAAATAAATGTATGACCAACACCAAATACAGACATCAGCCCGAAAATTAACCCAAGAAATTCCCAGACTATATAATAACTAAGACATCAACCGCGTGGCGGCAAGATATTCACATCAAAATACTCCGAATCAGGCGCAACCCGACCAACTACACATCGCATACTAGGCAACACAGCTAACGCTTCCCTCTCAACCGCCCAGTGATATTTTGCCAGATGCGCCATAAAGATGTCCAGATTTCCATATACCTGAGTTGACTCCTGTGCCATCGCACAACAAAAGAGACAGCAAAATGTGCCACGAGGAGCATTAGAATTAAAATGCAATGCAGGGTCTCGCTTACAGGGCACGTGGGATTTCGCCAAGAACTCGAATCGATATCGGATACCACTAGCTCTGTGCGTACGCACGCTTTCCTCGAATAGTGGGTTGTGGCTGGAACTCTTCGGGCTCATGGGTGCTTCGAAAGCGCACTTCGTGCACCGCAACCACGACTGTTGCGTAAAATATCCCGTCCCGGGCTCGGAGTAGATTTTGAATCCTCGGAATCCCGTGTGCACTTTCCACGCGCCTTTACAGAAGCCCAGGTAGTTGTTCGTTTCGCTAGGTGGCCAAAGAGGTCGGATTGCTTGGGTTGGTCGGTCTGTGCTACTTCGAGTAGAGGGGTTTGACGGGGTGGAGTCTGTGGAGGCGGTTGAGGTTGCGGAGAGAGAATCGTGGCGTGGTTGCGTGGATGCGGAGATGGGCGAGAGGTGGCGTTTTTCTTCTTTGATTGGAGCATGCCTGATGGCGTCTTCGTCGTCGGAGTTTATGAGGTTTTCGTGCTTCCATGGGTTCCCCCCTAAGACATCGTGTGGTATCGAGGTTGGTCGCGACTTGGGTATACTTGGCGTGGCTGGTCTAACATCGAATTCCGGAATCGGCTCTGATGTCGATGGTGACACTGCGGTGTATACTCTGGTTTGTGGGATATATGCGGGCTCGGGTGCTGATGACGGAAAAGATGGTGTTCTCCCGCGGCCTGGGCGGGGATGGAACCAGTCGCCCATACTACTCACAACTGAGCCAAAGCCTGATGACCGCCTACGAGGTTTTGGGCTTGAAGTCCCATACTCTCTCGATGTTCCCAGTGTGTCCGTTGGTGAGGCGCAGACGTCCTCTGGTAGGATCTGACCTCGTGAATAACTGGCTGGTGAGGTAGGATATCCACCGAAGAAGTACTCCATCTCCGGTGTGTGAGGTGGCCGGTACCTGTCCGGGCCATTAGGGGAATATCCACGGCCATACGAATTCATCATGTGATAGTTTGGATCGATGGACATGGAAACAGACGGTGGAACAGGCGACGGCCTCGACAGACGCTGGTACAAGTCCCCCAAAATGACGAGCGTGCGAACGCGGCCCTGGTCGGACTCTATCTGCAACGCCATCAGATCTGGAGTGGTCCCCTGCTCCTGCGCCTCTCGGAGGTGTCTTAGCAAAGCCCCCTGTAGTGTGATGATGATATCTTTCATATGCTCACGAGCGATCGAGTCGCCTCGCTCGTATCGGTAGCCAAGCTCTTGATTGTGCAGATCAAACCGGGTTTGAATCTCGGTCCGGCCACGTGCGAGAGACCGTTCTAGTTCCCGGGTGGACTGGCGCTCGTGGTATTTCTTTCTAATGGCAGTAAACATACTCGCTCCATCGCTGTAGGCGGAGACAACTGTTGCCGATTAGGGTTTGTTAATCTCAGCTATTGATAAAAGAAGAGGAAATGGTCTTACTGGCTGCCACACACGCTACGACTGCGATCACCTCCACCCCCGACATGGTGAGTCAGATGGGGCTTGGGATATACGGAGAGGGGTTGGGTATGAGTACTGCGATTCGTTTTGGGATCAAAAGGTACAGTAGTATGTAATAAGGTAGACAGTCTGAGATTCTTTGATACAAAACGAAAAGCTTAAGAGGAGATAAGAAAGGAAAGAAGAAATGCCCAGCAAAGGGACGTAGTTGGCAAAAAAAAAAAAGAAAGAAAGAAAAGCGTCCTCGGCCTAGAGGGCTGAGGCATGGACTTGATTGGAATGGACAGGTCCTTCTGATAGCAAAAGCACAGTCCACCCAGGCAGTTCTCTTTGCCCAATGGGAACAAGAAATTCTCCGGTATAAGCGAAATGAGGGGGTTCGACCTCGGTGAGAAGTGAACAAACCCGATCTACATCACCCGGGTGAGTTATATAACTTTGTTGCCTATTGGTATGGTGATATGGTGAAACCATCCATTAAAGATGTAGTTATATGTTCACAAAGTATAGAAGCATAGACATGCAAATCAGTGGGACATCTACGATCATCGGATCCACCGTCTCCACAACTGATGCCTATAGACGATCATTTTGAGTGATATATGCTGATTGCATGTGGCGTATAATATCCATCTTTATTGAACAAGTAGTTAGTTAGTTACCTTCATCCATGCATAGCTGACCAAATATTAAGGCACCAAGATCCCCCCCGCCCAAGCCCTAAATAACTAGCTTATTCCCGCCCGTACATCCATAGATAACCAAAATAGACAAACAAAAGTACCAAAGTACAAAAGCAACGCTAGCCCGAATGCAAATCGAAGCAAAAAAAAAGAACCCAAGCCCTCATCCCAGCCAATGATCAACAACAGCGCCCCTTGCGTGACGCACGTATAACCCGCTCCTCCTCAGCACCATCGACATTGACAGCTGCTGCCCCCAACCCCATCCAACTCCTCCTGTTATCACCATGACCGAGCCGGAAACTCCCAGTACCCTCCACAACCCCAGGGTTAAGAGGTCCGACAACTCCATTCGCCATGGACGTACCAGCAATCGACATAGCCAGCTCGGTATCGCGTCGATTGCGCTGTTCAACCAGCTTACGCGTGATAACGCGGAAAACCTCATCAATTCCCTCGCCATCCCGCGCGCTGATCTCATGACAGCAATCCCACCCAATCTCCTGCCCCCAGAATGCCGAACTACGTTTCGAGTCTGGACTCTGTAGGGCAGCGGCGCTGGCGCTAGCGTTCGATGTGCTTCCGCCACTGCCTCCAAAGACAGAGGTTCCAAAGACTAGCCCGCCCATGCTTCCTGTTGCAGTTGGTGGTGGGGTTGAGGCTTGGGTTGGGTAGAGTTGTTCGGCGACGTAGTCGATTGTGTGTTCGAAGGGGACGCGGCGGCGGGAGGGGTCTTCGGCGACAATGTCGGACTTTGTGCCTACGACATGGATGATGAGGGAGTCTGTGCCGTCGTCGCTGGGGGTGATGTTTTTGCGCAGTTCGCGTAGCCAACCGGCCATTTCTTGGAAGCTGCTTTGGTCGGTGATCTGTATAGCCAGTTAGTTTAGTGATTATGCAGGTTTTATTATGCTGTAGATTGTGCTTGTATAGGCAACAAATACAAACGTCGGAAAGAAGAATGAGGGGAAATGGTGTGGAAGTGGATGCACTGACATCATAGCACAGGAGCACTGCTTGGGCTCCTCTGTAATAAAGTCTCGACATGCTGCGAAACCTCTCCTGTCCAGCTGTGTCCCATATCTGCAATCTCACTATTGTATCGGAGGTGGAATCGAGGACGCGCTTCGTCACGAACGACGCGCCGATGGTTGAAGCCGCTGCGGGGTTGAAGGTGTTTTTACAGTATCTCTCCACGAGCGCAGTCTTTCCCACCCCTGGTTGTGATTGAGGTTAGTAAAGTCCACTGTTTGGTGGAATTTCCAATCACGAGGATATAGATTGGAAACTGGGCACTCATAGACATACCCTGTGCTCCGAGCACAACGATCTTAGCTTCAAGACTGGAACTCATGTTTCCCCGAGGTTGAGGAAGTGGGGGTCAAGTTTTGGTATTCGCATGATATATTAACAGCCGCCAAACTCTATGACAACTGACGCGAAACAAAGCGATCAGATTAAATACACATTTGAAAGGAAGAAAAGAAAAGAAAAGCTGGAGATGTTCCGGGCGGTATCAGCCGATGACTTCTTATTCACGAGGTCACCTGCACGTGTCTTGGATAGTAAAATAAGAAACAAAAGAAATGGAGGAAAGGGTTCAGCTTCTATAAACCCGACTAGTTTCTCTTACATATTGATAACCTGAGATTTAAGGTACATATGTAGGCGGACAAAGGACAACGTCATGTTCTAAACTGTTCTAATAATTAAATATTTTACATGGTCTGTTGATTGGTTTGCTATGGGGGGTGATCATGCTCGTGATTATACCTGTGATTATAGTTTTGATTGCAAGGACGATGAATGGACGATGAATGGTCCCCTTGCTCTAAGATCTATCAGCCTCCTGCAAGGCAGCACTCGCATGAGTCACTGTTAAACTCAACCCCGGAGCGGCAAATCGGAGGTTAGCACATGTAAGGACATTTATGTTGACTAAAATATAAGGACCTATAAAAAGGACGCCCTGCATCGCCACCTTTAGCGCTAGAAACGGCCGTCTTTCCACCCTAATGAAGGTCGGCCAGCCGCAGAACAGGGCGACTCGACCATTTTGGATGGTGACTGGAGTTAGCATTACGTGCCTATTTGCATTGGCACAGCCGCTTGATAGATTTTGGTGCATCAGATTGCCTTCTGCACTCCATGATAGAAATCGGGTGGTCCTTGGGCGGGGGATCCATGATCATAGCCTATCCTCACTGTTACAATTTCCCAGCATTTGGTTAGCTTCTCAAACTTCAACCACTTCCCCGGCACCTCATGGATATATATCTCTGGGAACTACTGACTAAATTATCGAAACCGCCCCCCTCTTTGTCAAATCGAGAAACCTTCCATATTCGGTTCTGAATCCAGATGCCACCACATCAGTACACTGATTATCCAGAACAGAGACGCTGCGATTCTTATAGTACCGGAGTAACGTTTTGCAAAATGATTCACAAAAATTAAGGCGTTGAAACGTTTCAAACCAAATGTACTTTTCTTGTCTTCGGCACTTGGATTGACTTTGATGTCGCAACAACTATTTGTAGTATATGGGCCCCTGAGCAGGGGTTGTTATTCTTGGATCAGTAACAATAGATATAGAATTTTACTGTTCAAAACCGAAACATGATCTAAAGTACGGGGTACCTATATCTGGATTGAGAAGCGCGTGTGATTAGGGTTTGAAACAGCATCTCCATGTTTCCGACATGGAAGGCGATGTCGGGCGCTACTGTAGAGGATGTTGTGATTAGATAGAGAATATACTATGATGTTGCTCAGTAAGCCATGGATTCTCTGTCATTACTACGGTGATACGTCGTAGGTTCATGGGTTTATATCTCGGGAGACCGGTGTACCTTCGCACTAATGATGCTACAGTTCCCCCTAGTGAGCCACTAGTGCCTGTGTTGTATGAATCAGTATCTTGCTCTCAAGTTCCTGACAGACACTAGTTATTAGTAGGGGCTTTTCACTGAACCATGACTGGTCTTTTGCCAAAACAACAGATGTGTCTGATAACTAGATGTCCCAACGAGCAAAGGTCTTTGTTTCTGTAAGAAAGGACATTGATTCAGTTGTTTCTGAAAAAAGAAATGACCGCTCAGTTATATTTTTAGTCAAATAACCCTTCGAAGACCGGGTTTTCGTCTCTGCCTCCAAGTAAGCGCAGCTCCGGAGGTATTTTCGCATTTCGGCGGCTCCGGCTTATGCCCCAACTCATATTTAGCCGAATCAATCGGGGTAATACCTTTGTGGCGCGGATGAGTAATTACGGGGGAAAGATTGGAGAAAAGAGCAAGGGTAGCGCGTGGCAAGTCCCGCCATGTGTCCCGCCATGTCTATATTTATGCATAAATAACCTAATTAGGATGAATAAAATCATGGCTTATCCGACGTTCTCACAATTATTAAGCTGTGTTTGGTGTCTACATGACATGTCTTTCAATTTAGCTTAAATCCTTCCGAAATTGGATAAAATCTACTCGTATATAGACTTACACAGTTGGTGGGTTTGGGTCACGTCAACCTTCAGGCAACCCGTTCACGGGTTTACATACGCATGTGTACCTAGGTGCAGTCCTGGAGACCTACCTGCGTATTATGTATACCTATGAAATATTACGTTGGCCGCTAATGTCCTTACACAACATGCGGGGTATTCTGTCCTACCTATGCGCAACTATTAAGGTTCTAACAGTTCTACAGGATTAGCTATCAAGGACGATTCCCTTAGAAGGGGAAATAGTTTTACGAGATACCTAGGGGTGATTCTGTAGCTACATTTTAAAAAGATTTCCTTGTGGTAAAGCTTTCCCTGCTAAGCTACCCAGGTCTAATCATTAATGGCCTCATCGAGAAATAACGACAACAGCAAAGTTATCTTTGCCGCACAGTCACACGTGCGCAATGCATGTGACGCCTGCTACAAACGCAAGATCCGTTGTGTTATGTCAAGGAGCGGCGGATCGTGTCATAACTGCAAGTCAAGGAGCCTTTCATGCTACTTCCTTCCGCGGTACAAGAGCGGAAGACCACGTATACGTGGGCCCCCATCACACAACACGATCAATTCGGCTACGGTAACTCCCCCGGGCAGTATCATGAACACTTCCCTTTGGCCCGGGACCGAAAATACCGTGCCAAGTGCACCAGCAAGAAAGTCTCCTCCAAGAGCCGACCACCAAAGGAACAACGACGATCTCTTCGTGTGGGACTCTCATCAGGACTTCGCAATTCAAACAGAGCAGCACAGCTACGACTTGGATCAGCCGCTAAAGTTTCCAAGTGTCTTGAGAGGCGCTTCCCTGGACCTAGAGGAGCCCACTTTTCCCAACTTTACCAATCCAACCCATCGTCCCTTGACAAATATACAGTTCGAAGATTTACCTGACCCTACTTCACCGGCCCCTCTGGACACGCAAACCTCCGTATGGTCAACAACTTCCCAGCAGCCATCTGACCGTAGCGGCCCTCGAATCGAGACATCTAAAGAAGCTAGATTTGCTACCTTGTTGGAATATTGCGCGAGACTTCAGCGTTACATCATGACGATGGAAGAGTATGATTCTACAATCTCAGACGAGGGTACATCATCAACATCCAAGAAAATTGGAATGTCAGATGGTCCTTTGCGGGAGGTGCTAGAAGATATTGACACCAGCTGCAAGCTCATGTCCGAGATGTGTGACGAGGGAACTTCATCCAAGTCCATTTCAGCGCAGGTCAACTCTCCCCCAGATTCTGCTTCCATATGTCTGATAACAACCGTTACCTTCAAAGTTTTTCAAATCTGCAATATCCTGTTTAATGGCAAAGGCCTGAGAATTTGTTCGATTAAGGATGTTCTTCTACAAAAGCGGCTCGACTTTAACATCACCCAGGCGAGGATTGTGACGGCGCAAATCGAGAACTTAACCCAGAATAACATACATATTTTGCAGGAACTCTTGGGAAAAGCTGTGCATATTGAGGAAAGATTCACTAACCAGCGTGGGGGCAACTTTACAGACAAGGGTAAATTGTGTTCCTAGTCTATCCCAACATCCGTTGGCTAAGAAGCCTCCGTCGAAAAATTCAGGAAAGTCAAGGTCCATTTGGTTATTCGCCTCAGTTACCCGTACCGATATAAAATTCTATTTAAACTTGCTGTACAGATATCTTCAACGTGTTCTCAGTATAGTGAATCCTATTCCTAATTTATCGAGGTTATCGTATGGGGCCGGACAGTGTCATTTCAGATCATCTTGCAAAATAAATGATCCGTTCCCACTATGATACTTTTCTTGAGATGATTTCCATCAAGCACGAGAACAAATGTGACTAAAACATGGTGAAGCACTCATGTTCCTCACATTGATTATTTTACTAGGCTTATGAAGAAATAAGAGCCCTTTCACCGATTGAACTGAACCACTATGAATATTTCCTTTCTTGGGGGGAATGTAACACGAACTGCCGCTCGGTGAGCGGTGCCAGCCAAGGAGATGATAGCAAGGAATCACAAAGGTCTCTCAAAGCTTCCCTCACATCGTTCTATTTGACCGAGTTCTATTTGACCGAATGAGTCAATATCCGGATTCAAAATTCTGGCTTCTCCGGAGTGTTATGTTTGACCAGAAAAGGAAGTCAGGAGAAATCCTCCGCGGCCCGATTTCAAGAATCCTCACGAGCATTCCAAGGTCTCGGCCAGTACTCGACCCTCGCAGCAAGTTACCGTCGATGATTAGCTCGGAAAGCTTTGTCAAGTTTCCCCATGAGGTTGGTCAAGGTTGTTTGTTCTATTCAGTTTGATAGTATAACATCATAGTTCATACATAAGCACGGTACTGCTGCACGAGTCGCTCTTAGATATTTCGACTCTTTTCCTACTTCCTCGTACTACAGAAGTACACCATCAAGTTTCTATATTCTTGGTTTTCCAATCAGTATCATATCATCGTCTCAACATACCGTCCAGCTGGACTGGGGTCAGCTCTGAGTTAATCGTCACGAAGCAAAAGACCATGGCCGGTTCGATTCAAGAGATTCAGCCCGAAGCAGAACCTGTTCGAGAACCATTTTCGGCTCCCGCTCTAGTCGATGGCGTCCTAGGTGATAGCCAGGATAATGATACTCACACCCAGATTTCAGAGAAAATCCTTGCTATCCTCGAGCCATACCTCCTCACTAAGTCAGTTGAGGCGCATAATCGCTCGGACCTAGGCGCTACTAAATTCATCTCTGTGATCCGCAACTTCATCAGTAAGGGGCAAGCGGTGCAGATGTGTCTGCCCGCTTTCCCATGGAAGTCCGCCAACAAGGTCTACAAGGTGCTCGGCACACTGCCCGACAAAGCCGAAGAGTTGTCCCTGAAACGCTTGAACGGCATATGCGAGGCTATCAGTGGCGTGTATAAACCTGGGGCAGAGCTGCTTATTGTTTCGGATGGGCTCGTTTACAATGGTGATTTAGTTTTAATTATCATATTATCTCCCTGGCGGGTTGGTGCTAGTGCTAACTAACCATGTTCGCAACGTTTCCAGATCTCTTCACTATCCCAGACCGCGACGTTTGGGCATACGGTGAAGCTCTGCGCGCCCTTGCCATTGAGAGCGGTTGTACCCACATCCGCTTCACTCGTCTCAAAGACCTTGTCGACATCCCGGGACTCCCAGACAAGCTCGAAGAAATCACATACGTAGCCAATGCCTTGAACTTCCGACGGGCGCTGCTAAATCAGTTCGGTAACCCGAACCTTGATGTGACCAAGGAAATAGCTGAGAAGGATGACACAAGGTTGACATACTGTGGCTATACGCGCTTCCTGAAGAACGATCTCCGGTACATCTTCCCCATAGGCGAGAATAGGAGCAGTCGCAAGTATCTCAAGGATGTCAAGTACGTGGCGAAGCAGATGATCTACCGCGGATCTGTAAGTTAGCTCTTTTATTTGAGATGTCTCAAATACACCCGTGGCTGACGCGATCCGTGACCTTACCTATAGGCTTTTGGGGCGGCACTTGAACGGAATTTCCCAGACTACCTCCGCCTCAGCATCCACCAGTCCACGGGTGAACACAAAATCTCCATCAGCTTGTTGGCGACAAGCACTTCTTATACCACCCCATGGCACTGTAGCGTGGCATTTCTGGCAGATGGAACCCTCACCAGCGGACCAAAGGGCGACTTCGAGAGCAATCCTAAGTTTGAACTTGTCTGCGATAAAGACGGGAGGCCGAGTTATTTCAGAGAAAGAGAGACAGGGGCTGTGAATGATGACGATTATTAGTTTTTGTGCCCTTGAGTAAATATCGAACCTTTCCTGAGAAACACGTTCTTTGAATCTTTTTTTGGGGATTTACTTTCTATCAAATTTCATATTAAACATCTTGTCACTTATCTTTATATTAAATCCCCAAACCCGAGGTCTGATGTTTTTGTCTAAATTGGAATTCAAATCCATTCAAAATGACATGTTAGCTACTATATTCACATAATCTAAAAGAGAGGCCGTGTCGCTATAATGCCTTTCTTTGGTAGTAGTTAACAATCGGACTGGATTAAAGCGTTAGCCTTTGGATGCATGCTCTGCCCTGCCCAGGTTAGTAGTTCATAGAGAGAAATACCTATAGATAGGGCATAGGGCTGGCCAGGATAAATTATTACGAGAAGTTGGGCTTCCCTAGCGGTAAAGCAGAAGAGAGAATATGAGTTTCCCATATTCTACTTGACAGTATTGTACTTGGATAGTCATCGATACCAGCTAACGAAGGTGGTGTCTCTCTGCCATTTGGTTTGCAAGAAAATACCTCCAGCAATTTCGCTATTTAGATTATTTGAGCCTACACTAAACATACTCAGCACTTCGTTGCACTTTTTTTTTTTTTTTTGGTTTCCAACACAAAGTATTATCAGCCTTAACGTATTAGACCTAGATAGTTTCGCAGTAACCAATGTCCAGTAATACCTAGGCCTCATATTGGGGTAATGTAAGAAAGCAGCTCAAACTACAATCTTAGCATTGTCTCACTTGGCATAGATCTAAGAGCACGGTGCTTGTGTCGTCACAAATGCTGTAAGTTTCTCCAAATTCTAAAAGGGTAGAATGTAGCCTATCACATGTCTGGGCTCGAAGTAATTAATGTCTGTTAGTCAAATCTTCTTCAAGCATGGCGGACAAATTCATGGCCCTAATGTCTGGGCCGATCGAATTCCGTACGACATTCCTAAAGAGGTAATCCTCCGGATCTATAATCCTTCAATACAAGCTGCCGGAGATCGGTCAATTTGCGGCACTCCTTCAGTTTCACATACTAGCATTAATTAATATCATCATTTTCACCTTTCTTGAAGTCCGTATAAAGACATTGCATTCAAACCACGGATCCATTGCAACCTACGGAAGTCCCGACGTTGCTCACTCAACATGACAGCCCTTAAGGACTATGGCAAACGCCTTGTCATCACTATTGTGGATGAAATGGCCCGTGACGATCCCGAGCGGGTTGTGTACTCGATCGCAATTTCGCATGATATTTCCAAGGGACTCTGGGATATCAGCGCTCGTGACTTCGCAAACGCAATCAACAGGACTGCCTGGTGGCTCGAGTCCGAACTGGGGAAGGGCTCGCTATTCCCAACGGTCGGTTACATTGGCCCTCGTACGCCACCTCGGAAGAAGCTGATGTATACCTACTCTATACTAACATTGAGCTAGATAATGATTTTCGGTACATATTGCTTCTTTTTGCTTGCATCAAGGCGGGATATAAGGTAAGAATAAATCACCAAATATTTCCAGAATCCGTCATGCTAACTTCTGTAGGCGCTTTTGCCGTCTCCACGCAATAGTGTCGAGGCTACTGTGGCTGTTTTGAACGCGTCCAAATGTGACATATGGGTTTCTCCAGAACAACAGCCCGAGATGCTGCCTCAGCTCCTATCCCATCGCCCAATGAAATTAATCAATATCCCCAAAACCGATGAACTCCTGAGCACGGAGTCAGTCCCAGACTATCAATACAACAAGTCTTTCCAGGAGGCATCCAGCGACCCCTTTTGTGTGTTGCATACCTCCGGGTCGACCGGCCTTCCCAAGCCCATCGTTTGGGAAAATTCCCTTCTCGGCACGTTGGATGCCACGCGCCTTTTGCCAGAAATTGATGGGCGCCCTCCTTGGACTGTCATCTTCGACGAAGGCGATCGGTTCTACTCGGCATTTCCCCTATATCATGTGAGTATACTGCTTTTTTAAACCTCTCGAAAGGAAGTTAAACCGACTTGAGCTACTCCTAGGGAGCCGGATTGATCATGAATGTCTTAATTATGGCTTTCTATGGCACAAGCAATGTTATTGGCCCCATGGGGGTTCTCTCAACAGTCAACCTCATTGATTCCCTTGTCGATCACACAAATATCAAAGTCTGGAGCATAATTCCTTCCATAGTGGATGAGATTGGCGAAACACCTAGCATCTCTAGCAAATTTGCAAGCGCCAAAATCATAATTGTATCTGGCGGTAAGAGGAATAAATCCCTCAGAGTATATCGTGTTTGATTGCTAATCAGCACAAAGGCCCAGTCACATATGCCAGCACCAACAAAGCGACCAAGGATGTTAGGATACTCAATATCACCGGTACTTCTGAGGGCCTTTTCCAAGGAAGTCTCCTCGTGGAGCGTGAGGACTGGATATACTTCTCTTTCCACCCTTATGCCGGATTCGACTTCAGAAGGATCGATGAGGGTATCCATGAGCATTGGGCGGTTCGCAGCGAGGAACACGTGGCCCTTCACCAGGGCATTTTCCATACATTTCCGGCTATTAAGGAATTGACTTTCAGGGACCTGTACGCACCACATCCCACAAAGCCAAATTTATGGATATATAGAGGGAGAACGGACGATATGCTCGTCTTGTCGAATGGGGAGAAGGTTCACCCCGTGGCTATGGAAGCGATCATCAATAGCCATCCAGCAGTCAGCTCTTCTCTCGTGGTAGGTATAAGCCGTGGCTCCTTAGGGTATCTAAGGGGCCATCCTTTCCACTCCTCATCATATGTTATGATTCAATCGAACCTTGTTGCTGACGTTATGGATAGGTTGGAACGGGCTACACAATGACCTCGCTTCTTGTTGAATTGGTAATTCCCGAGCCACCTTCCATAGTAGAGCGTGAAGCGATCTTGGATAGCATCATGGAGAAAGTCCATACTGCAAACACTGTTGGATCCAAGCAGGCACGCCTATTTCGAGAGTACATCTGGTTTGCGAAGCCTGGCAAGCCATTCGTCCGAACCGACAAAAACACTGTCAAGCGCCGCGACACGGTAGCCCTTTACAAGGAAGAAATCGAGCAATTTTATAAGAGCATGGAAGAAAACGGCAACCTTGCTGCGAACGTTGACGTCGCTTCCCTCGCCACAATTTCCAAAAGCGTCCACCATCTTCTCGCAACTGCTTTACCTGTGACCAAGGAAATTGGTCCAGATATCGATCTCCTCACTGTCGGTGTCGACTCCCTTGTGGCTTTCAGTATCTCCAACTCCCTTCGCTCAGCTCTTGGGAAGCATAATGTCAGCGAAGAGAGGAAACTAACCCTAACCCCCAGATTTGTGTATACTCATCCAACTATCAATGCACTCACGAAGGCGCTATACAATCTGGTTTACAACAATATGAGTTGCAGGACAGAGACTTCCGTCGACCTACAAAGAAATACCATGAACAGATTACGTGCTAATTATACCGCCGGCTTGGGGGATGGCCACACGGTCATTCTCACAGGGAGTACTGGTTCTCTGGGGTCTTACTTGCTTGAGTCGCTCGTGCACCAACAGCAGAGCGTAAAGAGAATCTACTGTCTCAACCGGACAGAAGATGGCAAGGCAAAACAGAAGGCAGCAAGTGAATTCCGAGGACTGACTACAGATTGGCCACCACAGAGGGTCGAGTTCATACAGGTCGATATCTCGAAACCAAACTTTGGACTTGCACGGGAGATTTACAACACTCTCCTTGAGCAGACAACGCACATCATTCGTGAGCTTCCTTCCCACAATCTACATATACGAAGTGGTACACAGTTTAGTAACTAACGAAACTCGTCTCGAGCAGACAACCAGTGGCCGGTGAATTATAATTGGGACATCGACTCCTTTGAACCTCACATCCGTGGAGTCCGACACATGATTGATTTCTCGCGTAGCAGTAACCACAACGCATCCCTGTTCTTCGTTTCGAGCGTCGCTACTGTCAGTCACTTGAGGCCGGATGGTGCCGTTCCCGAGAAATCAAACTATACCCTAACCACCAAGATTAACGGCTACGGTTCTGCGAAGCATGTGTCCGAGCTCATCCTCAACGATGCTGTGGCATTGTCCGGCATGAATGCCTCCGTCTGTCGGGTTGGACAGATTGCCGGACCTGTGTTACGCGGACCGGAGAAGGGGATGTGGGGGAAGCATGAGTGGGTGCCGACGGTATGAAGATTCTCACAGCAGGCATGATAGGATATTGTGGCTAACATTATGTTAATATTACGTAGTTAATTGCAAGTTCCAAGTACCTCGGCATCCTACCCTCAACGCTAGGATCGATGAGCCGAGTGGATTGGATCCCGGTAGACCTACTCGCCGACATCCTCGTCGAGCTAGCCGGTATAGCTGCAGATGGAATAAATGGCTCTATTGGTATTAACGGCACTGGTGTGGCCAGCAAGGGCACGGCCAATGGTTCTTTAGCCACCGCACACACGTTGCCTGTGTACCATGCTGTTAATCCCAATGTCGTCGACTGGGCGAGCCTAGTCCCAACGGTGGCAAGGCACCTCGGTCGATCCGTCAAGATTGTCCCATGGGCTGAGTGGATGGACGCTTTACGAAAATCCAGAGGCAGCGCCACGACAGCGCTGAGCTTGAAGCAGAACCCGGCACTGAAATTGTTCGACTTCTTCGATTCGGTGGCCAAGGCAGCCGAGAAGGGTGAGGAATGGCCTTCTCTCGAAACACAAGAGACACTGAAAAAGAGCCCGAGAATGGCCGAGATCAAGCCAGTTTCTGAGGAATGGATGGAGTTGTGGTTGGAGCAGTGGAAGTTCTAGTTTCTTTATAGTCATCTGAACGGAAATAGCGCCTCATATGTAAATTGCGAGCAATTAAATATCTTAATGGAATATTGGGTGTGAAGTTCATACTAGTTGGATAAATAGGAAATACTCACTTCGCCATGCGGTCTCCCTATACTTGGTCGTCTCTAGGATTAGATATTTAGGGGTCTCGTATTCGTCCAGCTGCCCCTTGACCCGGCCCCTAAGCCCCCGGCCCGCATGTAGCCAAGCGGGGCTATCGAGCAAGGACATAAGGAGCTTACACGCTCGAAGTCCAGCCAATGACACAGCATGGAATACGTTCACTGATTCCCAAGACGCAAGCAATATTAGTAATAGAGGTCCGCTTAAGCATCGCCCTAGCGTTGTTTAAAGAGGGTTCCTTTGCCGATGTGAACCACACAGTTTTGGCAGCGTACGCCCACTCCGACATCACGTATGACGGTTGTATTGGAGTGATTCTTTTCATTCCCCTACTCCTCGACCGCATATTCCCCACCTCCCACGGTGTCCCAGAATCATGTAAGCCTTGCTTAAGGGCACATTGGGTCCAAAAAAGTGGTGTTAATCATAACCGTGATTGGAAAAGTATCGCGATGCATGAGATTGTTGCGTCGTATTTTTGGCTTTTCTCTGGTGCCCCTTTTAGGCCATCCGTAGCTCGCCTAGAGAATGCATTTTCGGTGGCAGCGCTCCTTGCCAACGATGTGATGGTGACGAATGATATCTCTGGGTCTCTTTGCATAGAATACGCCATGGGTACTACCGATCAACAGGTCCCGTAAATCTCACTAGCAGGGACCATATTTGTCTCGGTGCTACTAGGTGTCGACTTATTGTGTCTTTTCGCATTGGCGCTCTACAGCCCATGGATTCCTTGATGGACCGGGGACTCTCGACTCCTTTGCGATCCTGCGGATCGCAGCTTCTATATCCGATAAAACTCCCCTTCTCGCCACGTAACATGTTGATCGCATAAAGGTTCTAGTTAGATTAGGAACAACTCCGATGCTAGGGTGGGGGAACTTTCCTTAGGAGGGGAACCACCACTAAGGAAGACGAAACGTTATGTTATAATGTCATGACAGGGTGAAAAGTAACTCGCCGGGGGTTACTATATGATGAACTTGCTCGTTGGGCCGACTCATAGGTCTGTAGTAGTGCCGGCCGTAGGCTTTTTTTCTCTGGGTATTCAGATAGACTCAATCCAAAAGAGCATCAAATACTGCGTGAGACATAATAGAGAGAAGGTCAATGATTAGAACAAGAACAAGGTCTTGCAGCATACTATGCCTCTGAACCTACACGGTATCCCCGTATGGAGCTGTCTTTCCAGGTTACCTTCCGGTCTCAATATTTTACTAAACATGACCGACCACCTTTTGCGCATTAGAAACTTCTTTCCTTCTTCTATTTATTCTTGAAAGATCCTTGGTTACTAATATTATTTAGTCTTTTATGTCAGGGCGAACAGTGCAGAGGCTATATGATGACCATTTTACTAGGGCGCTCGGCTAGAAACAGCAAAACTAACCGCGTATGGCAATGCACAGGTGCTCGTGTTACATGGAAAGAAAAGTAAATATGATGTGTGTTGATTCTCTAGACTAGTATCATGCTAACCGCATGTACATAAAACTGAGAATTCCCATGCCCGACCGAACCATTTTTCGGAGGTCATTATTAAAAAGAAAAAACAATAGCACTGCACTTTGAATTGCAGGCAGGATCATCCTGCATCAGGGCCAGATTGTCACCCTCCAGGCCAGAAACAATGGGTATATGATGTCAAAAGAAATAAGCAAATAAAAGCAAAACAGAAGAAAGATGCGAATCTGGTGTTTACCCGTCCATTGGACATAGGCAACAGCACAGCCATAACTTGAGAAATGGCAGCGCACAGCGCTGTCACGCCGGCAACTTGAAACACAAGTGCTTAGCAGAGCTCACCGAAAGCCTAGCTCTCATGAGAGGTTCTTGGAGTTCTCGTTCTCCTCGTGGAGTCCCTTGCCATCGCTGGAGGTGCTGCGAGGGGAACCCTTCTCACCGGCGTTCTCCATATCGCCCTGGCGGCGGCTAGACTCGAAGCCATACTCAGCAGCCTTGGCCTCAATCTCCTCGTCAGTGAGCTTGGGCAGCTCTTTGGCAGCCTTGACATAGCTCATGTTCTCGCAGAAGCCCTTGGCGAAGATGAGATCAATCTCCTCCAGACTGCGACCAGCGGTCTCGGGGTAGAAGAGGATCATGGGGGGAATGAAGACGAAGTTCATCACAGCGAAGAATAGGTAGGTGCCCCAGGAGATACTGTCAATCATAACCGGGGTGATCATAACGACGGTGAAGTTGAACAGCCAGTTGGAGCAGGTGGAGACGGCATTGGCCTTGGCACGGGTACGGAGAGGCGAGATCTCGGCGGGGTACAACCAGGGAAGGGGCAGGATGGAAGCACCGAAGAAGGACATGTAGAGGAACAGACCAAAGACGGCACCCTTGGAAGGTCCGGTCTGGTCGGGGATCAAACAAGCGAAGACGATGATCATAGAAACCATCTGACCTGTCATACCACCAATGAAGAGCTTGCGGCGACCGATCTTCTCAATGAAGAACCAGGAGAAGGTGGCGAAGATAGCGTAGACAATCATGTTGATACCACCGATAAGCATGGACATGAACTCGGTTTGACCGAGAGACTTCTTCAGGAGGACAGGCAGGTAGTAAATCACAGCATTGCAACCCGACAGCTGCTGGGCGATTTGAGATGAAGAACCGATAAGCATGCGGCGCAGGTGCTGGGTCTTACCACCAGTAAGGAGATCAGAGTAACCAGCACCGGCAGCAACACCAGCAGCCTCGATGGACTCGATAACAATCTGCTTCTGGATCTGGGTCTCGTGGGAGTCGATTTCGTAACCACCGAGAGCAGCGAGCACGTACTCACCCTCGTGCACCTTACCCTTGGAGATGAGGTAGCGAGGCGAGTCAGGCAAGTAGTACATGCCAATGATAATGATAAGACCGAAGAAGATCTGGAAGCCAATGGGGAAACGCCAGACGAGGTCATCAGGGCCGTAGGAGGCACCGAAGTCGATCCAGTAGGCGATCATTGTACCGATAGCGATGATACCACCCTCGATACAGATGAGAAGACCACGGTTTGATGAACGCGAGCACTCGGCCTGGTAGGTAGGGATAGTCGAAGTATTCATTCCGTTGCCGATACCAGTGATGATACGGCCGACGAAGAACTGGGCGGTAGCTCCATGGCCCTTGATAGCACAGATCTGAATGATAACACCAATGATCATGACATAGGCACCGTGCATGATCATGAGACGACGACCGAGCTTGTCACCAGCGAACAAGGCGTACATGGCACCAGCCAGGCAACCCAACTCGTAGACGGCAGTCACCAAGGCCTGCATGGTGGAGTCTCCGTGGGTGATAGGCATGAACCTGCCGAAGGCATCGGAATCAATAATTCCAGACATGACACCCTCTTATGGATTGTTAGCAACGTTGGATTCGTATGAGAGATCAATGTATACTCACGATCGTAACCGAAAAGCAGGAAACCCATAGTAGCGATGGTCGATACCGTCAAACCCAAGGGCTTGCCGGACATGCCAGCATATTTGGGCGCCATGATGGGGAATAGAATGAGATAACTATATGACCAATCTATCCAAGTCCGAAAGATGAAGGACTAGTTGACTAGTTCCCACTGTAAACACGTGGGTATGGGTGGGATGGTTTGGAATGGAGATATAAGAGACACACGCGGAGAAAAGAGGAGAGAAGAGGAACCCCGGGGAGAGGGAATAGGGAGATATTTGAATGTCTACTTCTCCAACGGAATTTGACGAAAGTGGCAAGGAGATTCATCGTGGGGCATATAATATTTTTCCCCCGTGTCTACTCCATGGTCCCGACACTTTCGGGACAAAATAAAAATAAAAATAATGTAAATAATGTAAATAATACAAAAAGCCACTCCGGTAGTGGTTATGGTTCAACGAATCATAGTTGTTAAGAAGCGGAGCCCATTAGCCGAATGCGTCAATAATGCGCGGGTTAAGCATTTTCTTTTTGGGAGATCCACCCGGTAGTTTGCGTCCCTGATGACATCACAATATCGAATTTTCGTTTTAATTCTTTTTTTTTTTGCTTTGAACTTATTTTTTGGATGATGATTATCATAATTGGCCTTTCAACGGGTGGAGATGCCCTAATCCTTCGATGTCGTGTTTGGATCCGCACCGACTGACCAAACATAAAGAATTCGGAGAATGAATTCTGGGTCATGTTGAAAATGAATTGTGCCTGGTACATCTATTGTTCGGCTCAGGAAATAATAGACAGCGAGATTGCCCCGTAGCAGTAAGGGTGAATTATAAGCCCTACCAATAATAGGCTTGTACCGTTCAGGAAGGCTTGCCGATATCAAATAGTGCATCTTCGAGATTGCGCACGCACACGGGAAGATGGTAGGTGCGACTACGAGGGCCCCTACCATACAACAATGTACGGGGTACACGGACGTTGTACTCGATCTCAATGCAACTCGGAGTCCAAGCGCCAAGCCACTCCCGTCCTTCTCGGGGCTGGTTGCAAAACGGGACTCGGGAAGCCGTCCCCATCCCGAAGAAACTCGGCGATGGGAAATGTTGGTGCCGTAAAAGGACTAGCGCCACACTAAAAGGATCGGACAGGGATCATCATGGTGGCCTACTCGATACAGAATGTGCACAACCATCCTCCTTGCCTCAATAATAAGACATTTTAATATTATTATATGTAATGACATTTCGTTCTCACTTTGGAGATTCCTATCTAGGTTATTGGTAATACAATATAGGGCTGCAAGGTTGTATAATGTTGTACAATGTTGGAGTCGGATCCGAAAACAATATGGGGAATAACAACAATTTACGGAATTATGCGGGCCAAGAGCCAAGGCGCCTAGGGCTCGGCAAGGCTTTTTTCCCCTTGACCGT